GAGAGCCTGAGCCGGTGGAGCTTGCGAGTGACGATCCGGTTCCTGCTGAGCGTCTTCCTCTAGGTCCTCATGCTAAGTCCCCTGGAAGTGATTCCCATCCTCCTGTTTGCCCTTCGGAACCTGGTACTGCTGACGCCGGGGAACCGAGATTTCGTCTTCGGTCTAAATCTTCTGCAGCGCCTCGTTTGCGCCTTGTGTTGGCCAAGTCGCAAGGGGGAGGGTCTAGGTTGATTGAAGTTTTAGATGATTGTGGACCCGATGAAGACAGTGATGATGAAGAGGATCGAGGTTTCAAGGCAGGGTTCAGCGAGGAGGTGACAGGACCGGGGGAGTGTTGTGATCAGGTAGGCGAGGTATGGGAGGATGATGGAGTTTTCTGGGATGAGGGACAACAGGTAGGAACGTTGTCTAAGGTTTGGTATGCGGAACCAGTCAAAGTAGGCTCTGATAAGGTTTGGGATGCGACTCCGAGGGACGGAGCGGAAGAGCTTGCCGCTAATCTTCTTGATCAGGGGATCGTAACCAGAGAGCAGTTGAGGGAGCTTCTTGAGACGTGTAGGTGGCCATCGAAGAAGAAGAGGCAGGTAGAACAGTCGAATCCTGGTCGTATGATCTTTTTCGGAGCGTTTAGTCATGGTGGGATTCATGGAGTTTGCCAGGTAACTTACCAGCGGAAGCAGTTAGTACGACTGTTGAACCGTTATATGAAAGACCAGGTGCCGCATGCTGAGTACACCGCGCTTTGTCTATCCGAGTCGTCACTTCTAGACTGGCATAGGGATAAGAACAATCTTCAGGGCTCGCTAAACTTTGTGGTTCCGGTGGGTGTGTTTAGTGGAGGGGATATTCGAGTGCTTGAAGAAGGGGCTTCGTTGGACGAGGCCGAGATAGATCCCCTACGAGGCTTCAAATACCAGGTCTCTGAAGGCCCAGTAGCTTTTAACGCTAGACGTAGGCATAAGGTTTTACCGCATCAGGGGGATCGGTTGGTGTTGGTAGCATACACGCCGAGGGGCATTGGGAGACTTTCCGAAGATCAGCTACATGATTTGCGAAGTCTAGGCTTCCCATTGCCTGTTATCCCAGTGCTGAAGCATTTGTCCGAGATGCCGTGGCTTCCTCAGGATGTCCCAGAGGGCAATGGGGTTTGCGGTCGTGAGGGTAGTGCGGAGGTTGTTGAGGATCCAGGTGTAGCCTATCTGTTACCTCCTGAGGATGCGGAGGCCATTGTATCAGAAACGTTTTTTCTTTCGAGAGTTGCTACGCAAGAGCGATACGCTCTGCTGGAGGAAATTCGCTTGTCGGATCCTAGTAGCCTACCGTCTGTTGACTCTTTGGCTAGTCTTGAGATGCGCATAAGTAGGCTTCAAGCAGAGTTGGAGTTAAGTCGAGCTGCGGAGAGCTTCCAAGAGATTTCAACCGTGCATTCCGATTCAGTTCGTATGTCAACATGTCGCCTCGCGGCAGCAGTAGCTTCGGGTCCAGTGCCGGCGGATGTTCAGAATGAAGGGGTTCAGGAGGACATCATGTTTCAGACTAGGACCGTAGACCCGCAGGAAGCAAACAGTCAAATCCAGCGGTGGATCGCACCGTTGACAGAAGAATACATCGGTCTTACGTCTCAGTATCGGGCAATTCTTCCGGTTGATGTTTCAGAGGTAGATGAAACTTCCGGCGATACCGAAGTACTTCCATCCAAAGTGGTCTACACCCTCAAACCCCCGCTGGGGGCAGAGAGGGCCCGGATAGTAGCATGTGGAAATTACGGTACGGGTTCCGCTGGTCCTGACGTGTTGTCAGACCAGCCTGGGGTTATCCGTCGTAGACATCTTTACGCCAGCGGATTGGACAGCATAGCCCTCAAGATCCAGATACGATGCGCTGCTCTAAAGCGCTGGGTCGCAGCGGTTGTTGATATTAAGAAGGCGTTTCTCAACGCGCCACTCGCCAGGGACCGCAGGGTAACAAAAAGGATAGTTCTAGTACCGCCCAAGGTACTCGTGCGTATTGGATTGATATCGTCCCGGGAGCGGTGGCTCGTACTTCGAGCGCTTTACGGGCTGGATGTATCTCCAGCCTGTTGGGCAAGATACCGAGACTCTGAACTTGCGGGTATGCGATGGGCTTGCGGTGCCCTTCAGCTTAGGTTCGAGGCATGCCATTCGGAACCGTCGTTGTGGAAAATTCTAGACCAGCATAATAATCTGCACGGCCTTCTCGGGGCGTACGTTGACGACTTTCTCCTAACCGCGCTGCAAAACGTGTTGGATTCGGCACTGGCCGTGATCAGGTCGAAGTGGGAAGTTTCAGAGCCGAAGCAGGTTGGAGTGCATGATGTCCATTTCCTCGGTGTAGATCTTCATCTCGCTGGAAATGTTTACTACATGTCTCAGGTTGGGTATGTGGTGGAGCTGTTAAAGCGGCACCCGGAGGTGTCGGGAGTGGCGTGGGCTCCCTTTCCTTCCACTAAAGAAGAAGATACCTGCGACATGCTTCGTAGCGAAGAGGCGCCAAACCTAGCACTTGTTCGCAAGGCTCAGGGGTTGCTGGGTGAGTTAACCTGGCTGGCTACGAAAACGCGGATTGACATTGCTTGGTCGACCAACAAAGCGTCACAGCTCACGGCAAGGCATCCCGAACAAGCGATCGAGATTTGTCACAACATCATACGGTACTTGAGGCAGTATCCGGATTTGGCTATCTCATTCGGTCCTCATGACGACCTTGGAGTTTTACAGGTGTATGCAGATGCAGCCTTTGCACCTGGAGGTGCTCGTAGTCAATCCGGTGCTTTGGTGCTCTGGTCCGGGGGGCTGATAGGATGGTTTACGAGCCGTCAGTCGTTCATTACTTTAAGCACAGCAGAAAGTGAGCTGTATGCTTCCATTGAAGGCATGGTGTTGCAAGATTCGATTAGACCGCTGTTAGAGGAGCTAGTAGATCTGCAAGTCCCCACGTTGTATTCCGATAACGTTGCCAACGTCGCGATAATTTCGGTGCCAGCAGGTAGCTGGAGGACTCGCCACCTCAGGCTACGCGCACGTCATTTACACGAACGGTTAGAAGAAGAGACTCTGACATGTCTGCATGTTGCAGGCGAAGTTATGATCGCAGACGTCCTCACTAAAGCAATGCCACCTCTGCGGATGACCAAGTTGTTGCAGTTGGCCAATGTTGTCCAGCTTCCGAGTGAAGCTTTGAGGGCGCTGATCTTGCTTGCAGTGTGCAGGCAAGTCAGAGCGCAGCCTGACCGTGTAGAGGATGATGATGGAGCATGGTGGCCATTATTGTTGCTCATAAGTGTAGTGCTGGTGCTGGCGAAGCTTCTCGAGTACCTGTTTAGAGCTTTGTGGGCGAGAGGAGGTCTAGAAGTAAATGGCCAGGCAGATGCCTATCGTCAAGGTTCTGCTGTGCAAGTGTTTGCTTTCGCAGATGACCTAGCAATTGTTGGCTCGTCCGAGGACGCACGAGCGTTTATATCTGAGAGGGGTTTGCGTAGAAGGTCGGCAAGTTCAGGGTCTGTAGAGTGGGTGTCTCAGGGTGTTAGTCGGCGTTCCGGGTTAAGTGAGAATGCCTCTACAGCTGCTTTCTCAGCAGCGGGCAGAGTAGGCGCCGAAGTCGCTTCAAGGCCATGGGATTACGAGGATTATGCAGAAAGGGCTTTTTCTCCTGATCCTTACGCTTTTTCTGGTAGTGACAGAGCTTCCGAAACAGAATCTGACACGCCTTTGATTGAGGCCCTTTTGTCCCCAAGAGTTGCTGTCCTCACGTCGTCGTCTTCTAACCAGGTGTCCGCAGAGGCTCCCGTAGCTGTTTCTAGACAGGCTCTTGTCCCGAACACCCTTGACCCTTCAGGATGGTTATCGTGGGATGCCAGGCGTAATTTAGGACATCGGTTGAGGGTCCGGGGGAGGGATTATTTTGAGTATCTTCCAGAAGAAGCGGTCTTGATTAGGTGGCATGCAAGTAGCCGGAGACAGTTTTTCGATCCGAGGGCATCGAGATTGCCTGTTCCGCTCAGTCAGCTTGTAGGATGGAGAGTGACTTACTGCACATTTCACAACGGAGAGGAGCGTATTTATCAAGATCATTTCACGACCACTCCACGAGGGAGGGGTCCAGACGAGATGCAGTGGCGTGGTCGAACAGAGTTCCTGGTCTATCAGAGGTTTGATCCGCGAGCAGCAGTGCATCCGAGTTCTTCAGTAGGTTCTTCGAGTGACGGGCTACCCAAAGCGGCCCCTCTGCAAAAGGCACCTCCGGTGCCAAAGGCTACAGTACCCAAGGCGAACGGAGCTGCGGCTCCAAAAGGACCTCCTGTGAAGGCTCCACCCTCGAAGGCTCGAGCGAGGAGGTAGTTTTGTGTCGAAAGGGAACACCGTGGTCACCTTCTTCAATCTTAAGTGGTTGAGGTTAGGGCTTTTAAGTGGTTTCGGGGCGGTTTTTTCCTCTGTGGGGATAGCCAGTAGCGCTATTTCTAGGTTGGTAAGACCCCGGGTAAACTCTTTCGGAGGCGGGATGCCGAGTAAGAAGGGTCTTGCTTTTGTCATTGGCGGGGTTTCGAAGAGCCGATTCTCTGCTATTGTTTTCCTTTATCTAAGGCCTTGAGCTGGAACTGTAAACCTCGTGTAGGATTGCACGCGCGTGCTCTGAATCGACGAAGCGACGAAAACTGAAGCAGCAGTAAGCCTTTAAAAGGCAGAGCCTGCCAGTTAAAGTCGCGGTGACAGTCAGTTGCTCGCTCTATGGAGTTTCGGCAGAGTTTGCCAGTGAAAGTCAAGGTGAGTTAGTCGCTTGCCCCTTGAGGTTTCTACTCGTAGAAAGGGGGAGTGTGAGTTGAGCGGAGCACTGCTGTCTGTTCGAAGGCCTTTTTTAACATCGAGCTGAAGAGTGAGAAAACCAAGCGTGAAAACATCAAGATCCATTCCTAACATTACCTTTCATTCTACGTGATCTTTACCCTAAACCCTAAACCTACCAGTGTCATCTGAGGACCCGGCCATGCACCAGGTAGACCTTGGCCGCGTCGGCCTCCCCTTGCCTGCCCGGAAACAAGACCCCCTTGTAGGGTTTATAAAGTTTTTTTTTAAGTTGACATGCGCCCCCTTCTCCGCTGCGCCGGCTTTGTGCCATCAACTTAGAACAAGTGAAACCCAAACCATCCCTGTAAAAGTCGCCGAGGACGTTTGAACTCCACCTTCGCTTTCAGTGACGCCATGCAGACCATCGTCCAGCACACCATCCTCAACAGACTCCCCCTCACCAGGTTCAGGACACCCCGGACATACCACATCACCACCATGCAGAGCACCACGGACAGGACTTCGAAAGCGATCCTCGACAGCATCACGTACACGACCAGGGCGAACAGGTTGTGGTTGAAGAGCTTGAAGAGGTAGAGGAAGCGTTCGCGGGTCCACCCATGCCGACTCCAGCCCCGTAACAAGGCGACCACTCACCATCTGAACAACCTCATGGATGAACTCCGCAAACAAGCAAGTAGTGCTCGACGTTCTTCATCAGGAGGCAAGCGATGTACACACCCTTCTCGCGACTCCAAAACGCGGCACAACCCACGGAGCGCCGTGATGGCCACACGTAGGTTTTCCGCCAGCACACCCACATACCAGTCAACATCGTCACATCCATTGGCACGTTCACGTAGTTCACGGAACCGAGACAGCAGCTCACCCAAGGCATGTATGCAGTGGCCACCAACCATATCATCCTCCAACCCCTGCGCCTCCACTACGTTCAAGTTCTGCATGAGCGAGACATCATCGGCAGCATCAGAAGCTTCACAACTTCCACGTGCACGTCCAGCATTGTCACCACGATCCATCCCATTTGGTTCCTCCTCCTCACACGTAGCAGTTGCCACCACATCACGGTCACGACCAGCACGACGAGGGCTCCGTGACCTTTCTCTGACATCCTCGTCATTCGTAGGTGGCACACCGCGCAGGTGCTCCGGCAGAGTCTCTGGGTCCAACCAACAGCTGGACAGCCTTTCATGGAGCTCGAGAAGGAAGCCCCTGGCCAATCCCACCACAAGTTCGTGCCCAGCTTGTGCTGACGCCCCACGTTGCTCTTCAGTCGGAAGAGGTAGTGGGCCATCCCCACGACGAAGCCGACGTGCCAACACAACCTGCATCTCTTCTTGCATAGCCACGGCATGTTGTACCGACCATTCCACAGCATGAAGGCACCATTGTACCGTGGTCACGTCCATGTCCGCAGCGTCCGATCCCGCCGCACACTGGGCGAGGTTTTCAAGGAAGCGACCAAGAGCCAAAACAGTCTGACGGCGTACACCCAAGTCATTGAGGACACGTGCTTCTTCAGGCTGAAGTCGTTGCACCATACTTACACCATCGCCACCATGATTTGTACCACCATCAACAGGAGCACGAGCATCGGGAGTACCGACTGGCGTGGACACTCCACTGCGCCTTGATGTACGACGTGTCCGCGGCCGCGCGCGAGGAGGTCGACGTAGAAGACGAGGAGGAACTCACGTGTACAGATTCACCATCACGTGAACGAGAGCGCTCACGTACGGCAGGAGCAGGGGAGTCACCAGATCCACCCACGGAACCACCAGCAACACCCACGGAGCCACCAGAGTCACCAGTAGCTGCCACCCCATCTGCAGGAGGACACCCTGCCACCGTGGCCACATCCACAAGGCGCTCCAAGAGTGGAAGGATCACGGCCGTCCACTGTCTGTTTAATGGCACACACCTTTCATGATGCGCCATTTCACGAGGAGTACGTAGCACAGGGAAGTACGGCAAGGGACCATCCACACGCGCTTCGAGCATCCCGATGACCACGTCAGTTTGTTGACACCCACGACGCCGAGCCTGCAACCATCGACGCAAGCCCCACTGGAACTCAGCGCCAACATCACCAGCTTGATGGTTTTCCAACGTTCTCAACATGTCCCGCATGTCCCTCCGAACCTGGTCGGGAACACCCAGGTCGTGGAGAGTTGCTTCTTCGGTGGCCGCTAGCTGCATGAGCGAGCTATCATCATCATCAGCATCCACCCCGTCGGCGACAAACTCCCAAGACGGCGGACCTGGCTCCACCCAGCTCGCAACCAGGGTGGGGTTGTTCCACCTTTCCCAATCATCCCAGTCCCGGGCTGTCCACTGCGGTGCTTGCAGACTTTCACGAGAACGTCCAGGAGGTACACGCCCAGGATCTTGAGAAGGTCCACGTAGTTCACGAGGTTGACCACCAGCACCACGAGGAGCTCCAGGAGGTTCACGAACAGGCTGAGGAGGTGCATCACGTAGTACACGTCCCATTTGTTCACGTAGTTCCCGCATTTCCGGAGTGTCCATCCCAGGGACTCCACGGCGAAATACAGCAGGTCGAAAGCTCCCATCCTCCCAGGCATCCACCCGCCGCTGTCGCCGCTCCAACCGTACAGGTCCTTGCCCTCCACGGTGCAGTCGTTCTTCGGAATCAGTACGCTGTCGTGGAACCCAACGTCCAGCTCGCCAGAAACCATTTATAAAGTTTAGAGTCTAGAGTTTAGGGTTTAGGGTCCCCCTTGTAGGGTTTACTTACCTTTGGTTTGTAGGGAATGGAAGAATGGTAGTAATAGTAGTTATAATTGTATCCCATTCCTCCAGTCCCTACCAACCAAAGGTAAGCGTAAGGCTGAGGGTTTGCAGGGTTAGGGGTTGAGAGCGGATGTCTGTGGGGCCTGGCTTTGGTTTTGAGCTTCTTATCGGGTTTCAAGTCTGCAACGGATTACTGTAGGCAGGGCTGGCTTGGGGTTTAGGGTTGCCATGCGTTGCCCATATCTGTTGAAGCACGCACCCCTAAACCCTAACCTCCAAACCCTCAACCCTGAACCCTGAACCCCTGAACCCTGAACCCTAAATCCCTGAACCCTAAACCCTAAACCCCTGAACCCTAAACCCCTGAACCCTAAACCCCTGAACCCTAAACCCTAAACCCCTGAACCCTGAACCCCTAAACCCTAAACCCCTGAACCCTAAACCCCTGAACCCTAAACCCCTGAACCCTAAACCCCTGAACCCCTAAACCCTAAACCCTCAACCCTGAACCCTAAACCCTAAACCCCTGAACCCTGAACCCCCTGAACCCTAAACCCCTGAACCCTAAACCCTAAACCCCTGAACCCCTGAACCCCTGAACCCCTCAACCCTAAACCCCTGAACCCTAAACCCCTGAACCCTAAACCCCTGAACCCTGAACCGCCGCCCAAGGCCTCAGCAGCAAGAGCTTGTCCCGGCCCTTGGCTCGCCCGGGTGCCTCCCGAAACGCACGCAAGTGCAGCAGTCGAGGCCCCAAACTTTGAAGAATCCCTCAACTAAGGTATATATACCTTATACATATCCTTAAAATCCTTAAATCATACTAGGAACCCTAATATTATGCTTTAAGATGTATACTCCTTAATTCAGGACTTTTGGAAGGTCTGGGGACGCATGTAATGCAAATCCCTACTCGCGGAATCGGGTACCCACTTCCCAAGGGCACATGGAAGAAGTACGACAACTGTTCCACTGTGTTTCGCCTTTAGCTGCATTCACATTGAAGTTATCCTTTGCTGACGCGATAACGTGACGTCGTGGACCCTCATAATGTTGTTGGCCGACCCTCTGGACACGGATCACATGGAAGGTCTCAAAGGGCCGTCCAGAAGCTGATCAAAGGACGTCGAACACCCCGCAACAGACTCAAGCAGCGGGCGCCTGCCCATCGGACAGGCCTGCAGCACACGGCTAGAAGCCACTGAGACCAGGGGGATGTAGGAGGCCGGGTGATTCGTGAGACGGTGCAACATGCAGACTGCCTTCCGGCGGCAGTCATGCAAAAAACAGCATCGTGAACCAGTCCCCTGAATGGGAGGTATGAGTGGCTTCCATCCCACACCCATCAAGCCCTGAGCTTCATCCTAGCATCTGCCCGAGCATCTGACTGGCGAGCAGAGAGGGCGGGGTCAGCCTGCCACAAACCAAGCGAAGAGTGTCCGACGACATCTGAAGCTCATAGTTCAGACATGCGTGCTCATGATGCAGGCATGAACAGACAGCTCACGGGTGAGCATAATTGCGCCTCAACTGATCCGATTGAGGGACCCCTCCCCTGACCCTTCGGTCATCCCACGGCGGCCTGTGCCAGAAGTCGTGCACGCATCGTGCTTGGACCGTGGCCTGCTCGCCCTGACCGATGCAGCGCAAGCATCCATGCATAGAACCGCATGCGCCGCAGTCGACAACGGCTCGATGTTCCCGCCCACTTCCGTTCTAAAACGCAAGAGTCAAAGGTGCTCTATCTTGGAGACGCACTACAACAAGCTCTTGGCTCGGTAGGCTATCCGAGATTATGTGCAGCCGACACGACCTGCATCATGTTGTAGTGGCTTCCTTTTCCATGCACAACCTCAGCGGCGCCCAGGACGGTGATGTTTGCGGCGTTTAGCAGAACGGCGGAACAAGATGGCGACGGCAAGGACCGGCCTCCATTTGGGTGCAGAACTTCTCGTTGATCTCGCGGGCGGTGGCAAACCTCATCGTCTGCAAAACTGCCTACGTTGTGCTGTGTTCTCCAAGCACAGGACACAGTCTTGGGGCAGTGGCTCCATAGAGTCTGGTGCCAGCACCAGCAGCGCAGGGCCGTCCAGGACCTCATTCCTTAGTCCACGAAGCAAACATGCACTCATGCCTCTCACGCCTCCACGGGTCCATCATGCTACCACAGACGAGTCGAAACCAAATCCCTACGGTACCCATTGGGCCCGCACGGCTCCCAGGGATCAGCAATGGTGTGCAGCTGCTGGATGTTGATCCCAGCGCGCTTCACCTCCACTCCGATCTTGCACATGGCTTTCAAACCCCTTTGGGCCCTTGGGCCTTGGGTTGCGATGCTGCAGACAGCAACTGACAAGCTAAGCTCCGCGCCAGCTGAGTGAACAGCTCTTTGGACCTTGGCTTCAAGGCGTTGCTCTCGCAGCACCCCCTTACGGCTCCGACGTGAAGTGATGCCTTTGGACACGTTTGCGAGCCAAGCAGCATCCCACGCTGTGCCACGTGCCCAAAGGCACGCTCGCGCAAGGCATCCACGTCGATGCCTCGCGAGGCGCATCGTCTCATTTTAACTGAAACGTCGCAGATCTAGCAGCTAGCAGAATCTGGGAAGCCCTGTGTTCACTCACTCGCATATCTTAATATTAAAGATAACCCCTAACAAGGATGCCGGACCCTCCGAAAGCTCACCAACCCCGCACCGAGAAGCAACCTCGAGCCGAGTTCCTGGCTGCCACTTTCGGCCAGAGTCCGGTTCAGCTCCACCGCCTCCTGCAAGGGCCGGGCACGGCAGCACAGATCAGACAAGTGCGCTTGCCGCACGCTGCACGAGCACCTTCATGGCGAACTCAAACTTCCCCAGCGCACGGCTGATGAGCAGGATCGCCTGGCGGTGTGCCCACAAGCCACAAGCCTGCCTTACATTGCCTCCGAAAACATCTGCCGCAAACTGCAGAAAGCCTCTGCTTCGCCACCGAGGAATTTGTATCCGCCGATGCGATCGTTGCTTTCCGGTGGCGGCCAGGTGACCTGCTCTTGTTGGAGGCAGCACTGCATGGATCCAGGATGATCCACACCTCCAGGTCGAACATCACCACGCCGACGTGCACGCCGGCCTCGCTTGCGGCACGACTGCCGGAAACTTTTCGCAGATTTTAACTAGCAACGCTTCAAGACCTGCCTTGTGAAGCTGCAGGCCCATCTGGTGCGCAAGCACACAGCCGTAGGAGTAGCCTCGCAGACTTGTGCATCAACAGTTCTACACCCTCTCCCGCCCTCAACACATAACAGTGGCATAGCTCCGTGTGCCTGCCACGATGACCGGGGCAGCGGCCTCTGCAAACAATGAAGCACAACAGCTGTTGGTTGAGCAGGTGGCTCGCCTGTGCTGCGCCCCCACCGCTGTCTGCAAGCACCTCCCAAACGACGAGTAAACTACTCCGTACTCTGTATCTTTATAGCAAACCTAGAGGGCGAACCCGGCTTCCTGGCTCTGAAGATCTCCGAAGCATGCGCTGTGTATGGCTTTGATGCATTTTCTCGTGTGGCTGCACTGATGAGTCGGGGCACTCTCCGGTTGTAGCAGGCCGCCAACTCCGGGACGGAGTTGCACTGGAGCGCCTCGCGGCAGGATCATGTCAGATTGTCAGCAAGGCTCAAAGGTGCCGAAAGTGTTGCCTCGGCATCGTAGAGCAAAGCGCTCACCCTGCGACGGCCGTGCAGGCACCACAAAGAATCTGGACCACGCGGCACTCCAGACACTCCCTCCTGCATGGTTTCAGCTCGTTGGCAATGGTCTGGAAGGTAGCACCGCCGCTCATGGCGTCACCATCGATTCCTGGGCAGGCAGCAAGCACCCCAATTTCGGAGACTCCACTGAAACATACTAAACCCTTCACTACGGACAGAACATTCGACATTCACATGGCAAGCTGCTGTTCAACTCATGTTGGCTCAGTCCCTCAGCAGATGGCCCCTTTTCTGTTAGGATGATGATCACTCGGAGGCCCTTTTGACTTAGTAAGTCTACTTAGTATCCCCTAGAACCCCTATTATAATCCCCATAACCCACCTTACTAACCCTACTTACTAAGTCAAAAGGGCCTCCAAGCAAGAAACTCCCAAAGAGGAGACGAAGGCGTTTTCGACCGGATTGGTTCCAGCTCGCCCGGCAGGCCATTTCCATCAGCGTGCCATCACTTGGAGGCCCTTTTGACTTAGTAAGTAGGGTTCCTTTAAAGGGGTCCTAAACGGGATCTATAGGGGTTCCTTAAAGGGATCTATAGGGTTTAGGGCTTCTTGCTTGGAGGCCCTTTTGACTTAGTAAGTAGGGTTAGTAAGGTGGGTTATGGGGATTATAATAGGGTTTCTATCTAGGGGATACTAAGTAGACTTACTAAGTCAACAGGGCCCCCAAGCATGCTCATCATCTTCGGTTTGGGAACTTGCCTGTCTTCCTGCTTCAACCAACATTTTGGGCCCCTCATGCTTCCAAAATGGTCTAAATTAGAGTTTTCTCTGCTTACTTTGCGGATTTGGGAAAGCACCAAATGGCCAATTTTTGTGATGTTGAGCCATTTCGGGCCTTTGCAAGGGGCACAAATGGCCAAAATGAGCCATTTCGGGCCTTTGCAAGGGCCACCAAAATGGCAAAAAATATGGCTTTTAATTGCACTGGAGGCCTATCATCCTTAGTGCCCCACCGTGCACCAAGTAGACTTTGGCAGCGGTGGACTCACCTTTCCTGCCAGACAGAAGCGGGCTTGAACTCATTTGTTAGCTACCCTAAGGCCCCAAAGTAGTTCCTTTTTGGGGTTCATAATGGTTCATATATAGAATCCTATAGGGTATCCCCAAAAAGGAACTACTTTGTTAGCTGATCCCCCGGACCAATCCGTTGCAGCAGGGAGCAGGCCTCAGCACCAACAACTTGTCCCGACCCGTCGCCTTGTCGAGCGCCTTCCAGCAAGGAGGGACCCTTAATGGGGACCCCTACCCTATAATGGGGCTATACAATGGGTATATAATAGCTAATAGCTATATCAAGGGTATATTCCTAGGGGTCCTTATTAAGGTGGGCACCGCAAGAAGCAAACACCGCGCAGTGTCACTGCAGATTGAAGCAGTGAGCGCCTGCCCATTCGAAAGGCCTGCAGCGCGGGGCCACGACACACAGGGGACCCAGCGCATCAATTCCTAAACTGGACCCTTCATGAACCCACGAGCATCTGACTGGCGAGCAGAGAGCTCGGGGTCAGCCTGGCACAAACGAAACGAAGGAGGTCCGGCAGCATCTGAAGCTGATTCGAGACATGCGTGCTTATGATGCAGGCATTAGCAAGCAGCTGGCGGCCGAGCTTAATTAGTTCACGACACCTCAACTCATCCAGTTGAAGGACCCTCCCATAACCTTTCGGTCACCACCCCACGGCGGCCTGTGCCAGAAGTCGTGCACACAGCGTGCTTGGACCGTTGCCTGCTCGCCCTGACGAGATGCAGCTCGTGAAGCTATGCGTGGCATTGCAGCACCGCAGTTGAGAGGAATGTACGGACTTCCTGGAAACAAATCTGCACGCAAAGGCTCGATTTTGCATCTCTGCTAGCGTGCCAGCAAACTCAGATGGGCTCTTGAAAAAATGTCCATGTTCCCGCCCACTTCCGTTCTCAACCGCAAGAGTCAAGGGTGCTCTATATGCGTGGAACAACAAGCTCTTGGCTCGAGATGCTATCCGAGACTATATGCAGCCGACGCGACCTGCATCATGTTGTAGTGGCTTCCTTTCCCATGCACCACCTCGGCAGCACCCAAGAGGGTGGTGTTCACGGAGATTAATTAAGTCAGCAGGATGCACGACGGAAGAAGTCGGTGACGGCAAGGACCGGCCTCCATTTGGGTGCAGAACTTCTCGTTGATCTCGCGGGCGGTGGCAAACCTCATTGTGTCTGCAAAACTGCCCACGTCGTGCTGTGTTCTCCCAGCACAGGACACAGTCTTGGGGCAGTGGCTCCATCGAGTCTGGTGCCAGCACCAGCAGCGCAGGGCCGTCTAGGACTTCATTCCTGGGATCACGAAGCTTTCATGCACTCATGCCTCCAACGCCACTAGAGTCAATAGAGGTCCATCATGCGAGCACATACGACTTGAAGACAAATCCCCACAGTAGCCTTCCAGGGCCCACGCGGCTCCCAGGGATCGGCAATGGTGTGCAGCTGCTGGATGTTGATCCCAGCGCGCTTCACCTCGACACGTCCGATCTTGCACGTGGCTTTCCAAAGTCCTTGATGCTGCAGACAGCAACTGACAAGCTGAGCTCCGCGCCAGCTGAGTGAACAGCTCTTTGGACCTTGGCTTGAAGGCGTTGCTCTCGCTGCTCGTACGGCTCCGATGACACGTTGCTTTTTGACATTAATTTTTTCGAATCCGAGCAGCATCCCACGCTGTGCCACGTGCCCAAAGGCACGCTCGCGCAACGCATCCACGTCGATGCCTCGCAAGCCGTATCGTCTCGTTCTCATTGTATCGGTGTCACAGATTCAGCAGCTAGCAGAATCTGGCTGTGTTCACTCACTCGAAAAAACGATGCACAGTGGGGCACCCGCATATCTAGGATGCGGGACCCTCCGAAAGCTCAAAAACTCCGCCCCGAGAAGCAACCTCGAGCCGAGTTCCTGGCTGCCACTTTCGGCCAGAGTCCGGTTCAGCTCCACCGCCTCCTGCAAGGGCCGGGCACGGCAGCACAGATCAGACAAGTGCGCTTGCCGCACGCTGCACGAGCACCTTCATGGCGAACTCAAACTTCCCCAGCGCACGGCTGATGAGCAGGATCGCCTGGCTGCGTGCCCACAAGCCACAAGCCTGCCTTACGTTGCCACCGAACAAATCTTCCGCAAACTGCAGAAAGCCTCTGCTTCGCCACCGAGGAATTTGTATCCGCCGATGCGATCGTTGCTTTCCGGTGGCGGCCAGGTGACCTTCTCAGGTTGGAGGGAGCACTGCAACTTGGAATCTGCACTTCTCTGCGTGGATACAGGATGATCCACACCTCCAGGTCGAACATCACCACGCCGACGTGCACGCCGGCCTGGCTTGCGGCACGACTGCCGGAACCTTTTGGCCGGTTTTAGCAACCTTTCAAGACCTGCCTTGTGAAGCTGGAGGCCCATCTGGTGTGCTAGGACACAGCCGTAGGAGTAGCCTCGCAGACTTGTGCATCAACAGTTCCACACCCTCTCCCGCCCTCAACACATAACAGTGGCATAGCTCCCCGTGCCTGCCACGATGATCGGGGCAGCGGCCTCTGCGAACAATGAAGCACAAAAGCTTTTGCGTGAAGCAGGTGGCTTGCCTGTGCTGCGCCCCCGCCGCTGTCTGCAAGCACCTTCCAAACGACTATATAGTAAATTCTGCACCGTAGCACAAACCTGGTGCGAGCCTGTCGTCATAGCTCCGAACCACATACTGTGTATCGCTTTGGTGCATCTTCTTTCGTGTGGCTGCACTAGTGAGTCGGGGCACTCTCCGGTTGTAGCAGGCTGCCAACTCCGGAACGGAGTTGCACTGGAGCGCCTCGCGGCAAAACATGTCAGATTGCAGTAACTGCAGGGGGGAGGGGGAATGTGCCGAAAGTTGGGCCTCTCCATCGTAAAGCAAAGCGCTCACCCTGCGACGGCCGTGCAGGCACCACAAAGAATCTGGACCTTGCGGCGCTCCAAACATTCCCTCCTGCATGGCTTCAGCTCGTTGGCAATGGTCTGGAAGGTGGCACCGCCGCTCATGGCGTCCCCGTCGATTCCTGGGCAGCCAGCAACCCGATTGCGGATGTTCAGGGCATCGCAAAATGGGCAGCAGGCGTGCACCGTCCCAAGACTCCACTAAAACATGCTAAACTTCACTACGGACAGTATTTTCGAGATTGACATGGCAAGCTGCTGTTCAACTCATGTTGGCTCAGTCCGTAGCAGCTGCCGCCCGCGATCTTAATCCCTCTCAATCTAGCTGCTAAGCTACGAAGATTGACTGATACCTCTGCACCAATTACATTGGAGGCGTAACATTGATGCTCAGCGCCCCACCGTGGACCAAGTAAACCTTTGCAGCGGCGGCCTCACCTTTCCTGACAGACAGAAGCGGGCTTGAACTCATCTATTAGCTAATCGCCCAGACAAATCGGTTGCAGCATGCAGCAGCGCCTCAGTACCAAGAGCTTGTCCCGGCCCATTGCCACGCCGGGCGCCTCCCAACCATGCCGTGAAGTACTGCAAGAAGCTGCCAAACGCCGCACAGTCCCACTACAGAGTCCAGCAGTCAGCACCTGCCCGTTGGACAGGCCTGCAGCGTGGGGCTGGATGAGACAAGCAGGGGACCCAGTCCCTCAAGTCCCGAACTCGACCCTCTGAGCATCTGACTGGCGAGCAGAGAGGGCGGGGTCAGCCTGCCACAAACCAAGCGAAGAGTGTCCGACGACATCTGAAGCTCATAGTTCAGACATGCGTGCTCATGATGCAGGCATGAACAGACAGCTCACGTGTGAGCATAATTGCGCCTCAACTGATCCGATTGAGGGACCCCTCCCCTGACCCTTCGGTCATCCCACGGCGGCCTGTGCCAGAAGTCGTGCACGCATCGTGCTTGGACCGTGGCTTGCTCGCCCTGACCGATGCAGCGCAAGCATCCATGCATAGAACCGCATGAGTGCAGTCGACAACGGCTCGAATTTGCATCTCTGCTAGCGATCCTGCAAACTCAGATGGGCTCTTGCAAAAATGTCCATGTTCCCGCCCACTTCCGTTCTCAACCGCAAGAGTCAAGGGTGCTCTATATGCGTGGAACAACAAGCTCTTGGCTCGAGATGCTATCCGAGACTATGTGCAGCCGACGCGACCTGCATCATGTTGTAGTGGCTTCCTTTTCCATGCACCACCTCGGCAGCACCCAAGAGGGTGGTGTTCGCGGAGATTAGCAGGATGCACGACGGAAGAAGATGGCGACTGCAAGGACCGGCCTCCATTTGGGTGCAGAACTTCTCGTTGATCTCGCGGGCGGTGGCAAACCTCATCGTCTGCGAAACTGCTCACGTCCTGCTGTGTTCTCCCAGCACAGGACACAGTCTTGGGGCAGTGGCTCCATCGAGTCTGGTGCCAGCACCAACAGCGCAGGGCCGTCTAGGACTTCATTCCTCGGCTCACGAAGCTTTCATGCACTCATGCCTCCCACGCCACTAGAGGTCCATCATGCGAGCACATACGAGTTGAAGACAAATCCCCACAGTAGCCTTCCAGGGCCCACGCGGCTCCCAGGGATCGGCAATGGTGTGCAGCTGCTGGATGTTGATCCCAGCGCGCTTCACCTCGACACGTCCGATCTTGCACGTGGCTTTCAAAGTCCTTGATGTTGCAGACAGCAACTGACAAGCTGAGCTCCGCGCCAGCTGAGTGAACAGCTCTTTGGACCTTGGCTTGAAGGCGTTGCTCTCGCTGCTCGTACGGCTCCGATGAGACATGTTGCTTTTTGACATTAATTTTTCGAATCCGAGCAGCATCCCACGCTGTGCCACGTGCCCAAAGGCACGCTCGCGCAACGCATCCACGTCGATGCCTCGTGAGGCTCATCGTCTCATTCTCACTGAACCAGTGTCAGTGGCACACACTCCAAAAATCGATGCCTACCGGATCACCCGCGACGCCCCTCCGGAAGCCGCACAAACCCACCCCCGAGAAACAACCCCGAGCCGAGTTCCTGGCTGCCAGTTTCGGCCAGAGTCCGATTCAGCTCCACCGCCTCCTGCAAGGACCAAGCACGGCAAGACATTTCGGAGAAGTGCACGCGCCGCACGCTGCACGAGCACCTTCATGGCGAACTCAAACTTCCCCAGCGCACGGCTGATGAGCAGGATCGCCTGGCTGTGTCGCCACAAGCCACAAGCCTGCCTTACATTGCCTCCGAAAACATCTGCCGCAAACTGCAGAAAGCCTCTGCTTCGCCACCGAGGAATTTGTATCCGCCGATGCGATCGTTGCTTTCCGGTGGCGGCCAGGTGACCTGCTCTTGTTGGTTGCAGCACTGCATGGATCCAGGATGATCCACACCTCCAGGTCGAACATCACCACGCCAGCATGCACGCCGGCCTGGCTTGCGGCACGACTGCCTGAACCTTTTGGCAACGCTTTAAGACCTGCCTTGTGAAGCTGGAGGCCCATCTGGTGCGCAAGGACACAGCCGTAGGAGTAGCCTCGCAGACTTTTGCAGGGCACCCGAGCTCGTGAAAAGTTCTGCACCCTCTCCCGCCCTCAACACATAACAGTGGCACTACGCCGTGTGCCTGCCACGATGATCGGGGCAGCGGCCTCTTCAAAAAACAAAGCACACAGACGGTTGCGTTGAGCAAGTGTCTTTGCCTTTGCAGTGCCCCCGCCGCTGTCTGCAAGCACCTTCCAAACTACCGTAGAAAACTTTGCACCGTAGCGCAAACCCTGTGCGAGCCTGTCGCCCTAGCTCCGAAGCATATATACTTTGTATCGCTTTGGTGCATTTTCTTTCGTGTGGCTGCACTACTGAGTCGGGGCACTCTCCGGTTGTAGCAGGCTGCCAACTCCGGAACGGAGTTGCACTGGAGCGCCTCGCGGCAGTGTCATGTCAGGTTGCCAGCAATCGCAGGGGGTCAAACGTGCCGAAAGTTTTGCCTCGGCATCGTAGAGCAAAGCGCTCACCCTGCGACGGGGGTACAAGCACCGTCCAGCATCTGGACAGTGTAGCAGCGCAGCGTGCAGACATTCCCTCCTGCATGGCTTCAACTCGTTGGCAATGGTCTGGAAGGTGGCACCGCCGCTCATGGCGTCCCCGTCGATTCCTGGGCAGCCAGCACCCCAAATTACGGATGTTCAGGGCAGCGCGAGGGTGGACGGGAGGAGGGCAATACACCACTAAAGCCTACACTACAAACTGAAAGTACAAGACTATCATGACAAGCTGTGTTCGATTTCTTTACAGCACCTCTGATCCTTGTTGCCAGCTTGTGAGCTCTAGGCACTGAGCTAGAGGCACTCTCGTGCCTTCCCTCCTGCCCTTCGTGTCTCGCCGACACGACCTGTTGAGGGCCCTTGCTTAATCCTGCTTTGCCCGGCTCCTTATGTTGAAGATGAACGAGCCCACAAGGGGCGAAACCGGCTCTTAAACAGTGGCCTGGTGCTAAAACGGCTGCCCGTTCGTGCCCTGGTTTGCTAGCTTCACACTCAGAGAAGTGTTATCCTTAGTGCCCCACCGTGCACCAAGTAGACCTTGGCAGCGACGGCCTCACCTTGCCTGCCAGAGAGATTTGTTAACTTTGCTCAACTAATGCAGGGGCCTTAATAATCAGAATAGGGTTGTGGGCCCACTGTACTACAATTACAATAATAAGGAACCCCCAAAATAATATAGGTACTTAGTAAGGCCCCTAGAGTATGCGCACCGCAATGCATCGACGAAGCACGTCGAGGCCTGAGCACCAAGAGCTTGTCCCGGCCCGTGGCTCGGCTCGGCGCCTCCCGGCAAAGCAACAGCACTTGGAGGGCCGGGGGACTTAGTAAGTAAGGCTATAACTACCTTAATTGGGATTAGAAGTACTTATAAGTATAGTTACCTTATTTATAACCCCACTTACTAAGTCCCATGATCCTTTAAGCAGAACCCCGAGGACTCACCAGCTCAACACCAGCAGCGGCAGGCGCCTGCCCATTGGACAGGCCTGCAGCACGGCTGGATGGGATCGTCGGAGCACTTCACTATACAACCCTTAGAACAACAATAAAACTGATATCTTTGATATTCTCTTGGCTTCGATATGAACAAAACTAAAAAACATAATTCCCAAGGACATTATAGTTCCTGAGGCTACCAACTTCTCATCAGGAATCCGGGCATCACTGCTTGTCCAGTCCGGGTGCTCCCAAGGCGCTTGCGGCTCAGCATGATAGACGTTTCACTACTTGCACCATGATACTTAAAAGGCCATGACTTAGTAAGTGGGATTATAAATAAGATAACTATACTTATAAGTACTGATAACCCCAATTAAGGCACTCATAACCCTTCTTACTACCTCCAAGTAGAGCTGCCAGAGCGCGCACGTCTTTGGCATCTGCCACAGGCGCGAACATCACCGCCCATGGCATGGCAACAGTACTGTGTCAGGAACCCTAAACCCTAAACCCTAAACCGTCGATGGAAAACGCAAAAACTCACACCACACCGCATTCGAAACTCCTAGACCTCAGATACCTCAAACCCAAACGACTTCACCCCTAAACCCTAAAACCCTATGTAGAACCCTAAAACTCTAAACCCTAAACCCTGAAACCCTATAAAGAAACCTAAAACTCTAAACCCTGCACCCTAAAACCCGATATGGAACCCTAAAACGCTCAATCCAAAACCCTCAACCCTATATAGAACCCTGAAACTCTAAACCCTGCACCCTAGTGGGGTCGGATCTCGGTTGCAGCAAACCACGCGGGCGACCGAGGATCGGGCTGGGAAGCTGCGCCGTCGGCATCAGCCTAGCCCATGCCCATGAGGCCCCAAAGTAGTTCCTTTTTGGGAAGACCGAAAATAGGGTTCTAAATATGAACCCCAAAAAGGAACTACTTTAGGGCCTTAGGGTAGCCCATGAGGGTTTTGGGTTTAGGGGGGTTAAGGGTTTAGGGTTAAAGGGCTTAGAGTTTAGGTTTAGGGTTTGGGGTTTAGGGTTTAGGATTTAAGGTTTGGGGTTTAGGGTTTAGGGTTTTTTGTCGGGTTTCGGGTTTAGGGTTTAGCGCACCGGCCTAAGGCATGCAATGGATAGGTTTGGCGTTGAGGGCTTAGGGGTTAGGCAGGCAATACTCTTTCAAGCGTGATGATGCAAGAACTATTTCTTAGGGTTAGGAAAGACTATTGTGTTAACATAGACACACAAATGGAAATATGTGACCATGATAATGGCAGTACTAGTAGGAGGAAGAGCACCCGTAGCGGAAGCAATAGTACAGTATCTGCTGTCGACATTGAAGTACTATAATTGCCAGCGCAAGTACCACTACACCGGCACTAATGTTGCTGCTTGTACAACTGTTGCTGCACTGCTGTTAGTGTCACTCTGCGTCTAAAGTAACTATCACTGGGCCTCGCAGCAAGGTTACACCCTGAACCTGCAAACCTGATCCCCCATTAAGTCCCTAAACCCGAAACCCTAAGCTAGGTGTCGACTTCAACAGTCCGTGAAATTATTTGCACTTCGGGCTCTATATAAAACCATAACTTATACGGCAAATTTAAACGAATATCCCAAGTCGATACCGAGTAAAGGGTGTGCTTTCAAGTCAAGGGCTTGGGTTTCGCAATTTGGGTCGATGGTTCAGGGTTACAGCTCTAGCTGGCCAGACTTTGAGAACTCTTGTAAAACAACGCCAATCCCACTAATGTAGGGGCCTTAATAATTAGAATAGGGTTTTGGGGGCTTCTTACTATAACTATAGTATAATATACCCCCAACACTATTCTAATTATTAAGGCCCCTATATTATCTGGTTGAGGGTTCTTTGGCTCACGGCTTCAGGGTGATTTAGGGCTCCGGGCTTCTGGTTTAGAGTGTCAGGTTTTTTTGAGGTTGGGGCTGAAAGGTTTTTTGGTTCAGGGTGTCACGTTGGGAAGTATATATGCTTAGGGCGCATTTTCCAGATATTGAAGGGAAATATCACAACACAAACTGTTTTCAACAAACTATGAACACTCACAAAACGAAACCCTTAACCTACAAAGCCGATCCAGACTGCTACATTAGGCCTCCGCCGGAACTGTTGGACGATGCCAGCCTGGACCACGGCTTGCTCGCCCTGGTAAGGTGAACGGTGTCGAGTTTCGGGGTTGAGGGTTGAGGTTTTATTTTCAAGTCGAGGGTTTAGGGCTTCAGGTTTAGGGTCTGAGGCGTGGGGTTTGGGGTCTAGGGTTCAGGGTTTCAGGTTTTAGGTCTCTTTAATATAGGGGCCTTCATCATTAGAATAGGGATTTCGGGCCCATTATACAATGACCATAGTAAGGAACCCCAAAAAATCGCATAGGTGACAACTGAGACCCCTAGATGGGTGGTTGTCAAAATCAGGGTCCCTTTTTGGGTACCCTAAATACTAGGTGCCGTATTGTATTGAGGACCCAAAAAGGGACCCTAATTTTGACACACGCCCAGATGAGGGTTCAGGGTACTTGGAGGCCCTTTTGACTTAGTAAGTAGGGTTAGTAAGGTGGGTTATGGGGATTATAATGGGGTTTCTAGGGGATACTAAGTAGACTTACTAAGTCAACAGGGCCTCCAAGTATAAGGTGTAGGGACAGCCCAGGGTCTCGGGCTTCTAGGTTAAGTGAGGAACCGCGCGAAGGGCTCCGTTGAGGGTTCCGACAAAGGTTCTAAAAGGGTTCTATAAGGGTTCTAGAAGGGTTCTATAGAGTTTCTTAAGGGTTCTATCCTGGACGGTTTGCAGGGCTTGATGCCTTTCCGTGCTGATGTTAAGGCGTGTGGTTTATGATCTTCTGCAAGCAACAATCAGAAATACCTACGTTGCACGAGCTCAGCGCAGGATCTTCGGGAATGTCGATACCCTTCTTGGTCCAGCAGCTGAGTTGATGCAGAACCCTGCTACGACTTTAAGAACCTTACGAGAACCTCTTGAAGAACCCTTGCAAGAGCCGGTGCAAGAACCCTACAAGAGTACTGAGCCCTGAAGCTCTTTCCTCCTTCTAAAACCGCTTGTAGAACACCTAACAGAACTCCTAAAGAACCTCTGATAGAAGCCACTGAGTAGAACCTCCTGACTAATGCAAATTGTTGTCTCCAAGCCTCACACCTAAACTCGTACACCTTCCACCTTGCTTTCAACCTTCGTCCAGGGATCCCTTAAAGGGTCATAGGGGCCTTCTTAAAGTCAGGGTTCTCTACTTAGGGGCGCTTTGATCGGGATCCTTCTGTTGACCATGTCAGCTCTATTGCCCCATGTTAGCTCTCAAAGGATCAGAAAATGTCTCAACATGAATTGCAGATGGCTCTGAGTTGAAGCTTTTCGGGCCCATGGAAAACGGCTTGAGATTTAGGGCGCTCGGGCTTAGGTTTTAAGAAAACTCAGCATGTGAGCACCATGGCCCTGGACAGGAGCTCTATCCTTGGCACCTGAACCCTAGGCTGAACCCCCAGAAGCCTACAACAACGCAGCCGAACTGTATTGAAAGATGTTGAATCAAAATGAACACTTGGATCCTAAACCCTGATGCCTACACTCTGAAACCCTGAACCCCGATCCCTAAACCTATGCCCTTGCCTTACAAAACCCTGTCAAGCGCCGCAAACACCCGACTCCCGAGCCCTACCTGTGCAAAAAATACCGTACCTAGATAAGGGAAATCATAGCGAGGAATCCTAACCCTGAACCCCAGACCCTATAGACCCAAACCCTACATCCTTGAATTTCTTTCGAGAACCCTTACTACATCCCGAGAAGCCCTAAAATAGGGGCCTTAATAATTCGAATAGGGTTTTGGGGTATATTCTACTATATAAGTATATTCAGGAGCACCAAAAAACTCTATAGGTTATTATTATTCTTGTTATTACTATTACTATTACTATTACTATTACTATTGTTATTATTATTACTATTGTTATTATTATTACTACTATTATTATTATTACTATTATTATTACTATTATTATTATTAATAGTATTATTATTATTGTTATTATTGTTATTATTGTTATTATTATTACTATTATTATTACTATTACTATTACTATTACTATTATTATTATTATTATTATTAGTAGTATTATTATTATTAGTATTATTATTAGTATTATTATTAGTATTATTATTACTATTACTATTATTATTATGATTATTATTATTACTATTATTATTATTATTAGTATTATTATTAGTATTATTATTATTATTGTTATTATTCTTATTATTATTATTATTAGTAGTATTAGTATTATTATTAGTATTATTATTAGTATTATTATTAGTATTATTATTATTATGAGTAGTATTAGTATTATTATTATTAAGGCCCCTATATTACACCGAGACCTGCAGCATGTTGTAGTGGCTTCCCAGACCTGTGGCAACCTCCGGGCTCTGCGATGGAAGGGCTAGGGCTTTTTGCTTTTTTAGGGTTCAGGGTTTAGGGCTTAGGGGTTTAGGGTTTAGGGCTTTAAGGTTTATAGGGTTTAGGGATGTAGGGGCCAGCGCTTTCGAAGTCTACAGTAGGGCCCGTTTCGGCTTTGGGAGTCTTAACGGGGCTGGGATTTAGCATGTAGGAGTTGTAGGGTGCAGGCTGCGAACCTCTTGCAGCTCAAGAGATGCTTGTGTTGGTTGCAGCATGCACATCAAGGTATGCGCAGGCCATAACATGTTCGTACACAGGTAACATGAAGAAAAAAATGATAATGGCTCGTAAGCAAGAAACATAGAGAATAAAGTTGATAATTGTTCGTAAGCAGGAAACAAGAGAATAGAATTGGCAAGCAGGAAACATAGAGAACAAAATTGAGAATTGTTCAGGCCCTGTGTTATATTCGCAATGCCAGTTGGCAACTTTCCTCCCGGGCTCTCTGAGGTGGCTTTGGGCCCGAATGGCTGTTTGGCCCTCCTTAATAGGGCCCGCAATAAATCTCTGGTGGAGTTTACTATGGGAGTTTCCGAAAATAGGGGACCCTAATATATAGTACCCCTAAATAGTGGATCCTTATTGTAAGGACCCCCAAATAAGATACCCCTAATTTTCGGAAACTCCCCTACGGGTCCGAATAAAGGAGGTCCAGATCCCGGTTCTTCAGTCAGAGATCCCAACAGGAAAATTGGCAATGCCAGTAGGCGCCTCCATCTGCCTGCAGTATCTCGCGTTGATGTCCTTCGCACCTGCAAACCTCGCATCGTCAATCACTACAAGGCCTTCGTGTATAGTGAGTTCTCGCTCGTCCATATTAGCCTGTTAGCCTAAAAGCTGATTAGTAGCACGTACAGTTTGTTGTCGCCAGAGGCTGCTTCTCACGATTGCTCGATTGTGCTTTTGATTTTTGGCCCGTGCCTGAGTGCGGGCACGAGGTGGCTGTGGTAGCGACAGATACTGCAGGGGCCTGAAAAATTGGAATGGGGTTTGGGGGTATAGCCTACTATCACTCTAAAAAGGAACCCACGACATGGTATAGGTACTTATTAAGGCCGCTATATTATAGTACCCTTATAGTAGCCCTTATAGACCCATCCAAAGAAGCCCTAAGAACCCTATAGGTACTTATTCAAGACCCTATATTACAGAACCCTATTCTAGATCCCGTATAGAACCCTTAAGGATCCCTTTGAAAGAAACCTTTTTCTATCTATGAAGGCGGCTATATGGGAGTTTCCGAAAATAGGGGACCCTAATGTAGTACCCGAAATAGTAGGCTCCTTGTTATAAGGACCCCAAAATAAGGTACCCCTAGTTTTCGGAAACTCCCATATTACTATCTAGACCCCTATACTATGCATCTAACAGGCTCCTATAGATCTCTTATAGGACCCTTTAAGGATCCCTTCAAAGGAACCCTGTTTATTCAGGCCCCTTAGTACAGTACCCTATTATAGTAGCCCTTACTTACAGTAGGTCCTCATGCATCTAACCCTGCTATAGATGCCTTATGAAGGACCCTTTAAGGATCCCTTTAAAGGAACCCTAATAACTCCCAAGGTCCTCTTCTATGCGTCTAAGAGGCTCCTGGGAGTCCGGTGCCAAGACCATCAGCGCTGGCCCTTGGAAAACGCTCGGCCTGAAAGCATCAACAGGTTTAGGGTTTAGGGGTTAAGGGATTTTGCTTCCTTTAAAGGGATGCATAGGGGTTCCTTTATAAAGGGATCTATAGGTTTTAGGGTTTAGGGGTTAGGGGTTAGGACTTAGGGTTTGGGCTTTAGGGTTTGGGGTTTAGGGGTTAGGGGTTTAGGGTTAGGGGGTTTTACGGTTTGGGGGTTTAGGGTTTAGGGGGTTAAGGGGGTTAAGGGGGTTTAGGGTTCAGGGGTTTAGGGCTTAGGGTCTAGGATTTAGGGTTTCGGGTGTAGGGTACAACGACTTAGGTTGCTATTTCTGATCTTATCCTTATTATTCTTACACGATTATTACCATTCTGACTTCTAATATGCAAATATTACACCTCTCATCATGGAGGGTAATTATCGGTTTAGCTTAGGGTTCAGAGTTCAGAGTTCTTGGGTTGGGGGTTTTCGGTTCAGGGCCTGCGGCCTAGGGTGTGGGATTCAAGTTTTAGGGCATATGGCGCGCCTGAACTGCCGCTTGCATGTCATACTCTCTCAGGCAATATAGCGCTGCAGTGTTCGGGTCTAGGGCTTCGGTGCTTTGGGGCTGCAAGGCCTTGGGGTTTGGCACCGTCTTGACTGTTAAAGTCTGGGATTTTAGCACCACCCAAGAGACACACCAACTGAAGCGCCCTTAAAGCTCAAGAGGGTTGCGATATTCAGGCTATAGGGTTCACTCACGATTTAGGGAAGTTTAGGGTTTTCAGGCGTAAAGGTTTAACTGTTCAAGGGCTTCGGGTTCCTCGACAGGTTCTGTAAAAACTCATTAACTTCATGTTTCGGATGTTGGCTAAGGGGTTCTTTATGTTAATTATGGTCCTATGGTGCTGTAAGGTGTTCGCAGGGGGTTGTATAGGCATTTAACGACTTCGCAATCACTTCGCAACAGCTGGTTTTTTGAGCAACACAAGCAGTGCGCCAGGGTGGCGCCAGCCTACCTGGCCTTCTCCTTGTCTGCACTGGCCTCCAGCAGAAGTTGCACAACTTCCAGATGCCCCGCCTGAGCCGCAATGAACAACGGGGTGGCGCCATCCTGCGTGGCCTTGTCCTTGTCCGAATTGGCCTCCAGCAAAAGGCGTGCGACCTCCACGTGTCATTTGAAAGCTCCCATGTACAACGGGGTGGCGCCATCCTGCGTGGCCTTGTCCTTGTCCGAAGTGGCCTCCAGCAAAAGGCGTGCGACCTCCACGTGTCCTTCGTGAGCTGCTGTGTGCAACGGGGTGGCGCCATCCTGCATGGCCTTGTCTTTGTCTGCATTGCTCTCCAGCAACAGCCGTGCAACCAGCTGCCCCTCCTGAGCCGCAATGAACAACGGGGTGGCGCCATCCTGCGTGGCCTTGTCCTTGTCCGCATTGGCCGCCAGCAAAAGGCGTGCGACCTCCACGTGTCCTTTGAAAGCTCCTATGTACAACGGGGTGGCGCCATCCTGCGTGGCCTTGTCCTTGTCCGAATTGGCCTCCAGCAAAAGGCGTGCGACCTCCACGTGTCCTTCGTGAGCTGCTATGTGCAACGGGGTGGCACCATCCTGCATGGCCTTGTTGTCCACATTGGCCTCTAGCAAAAGGCGCGCGACCTCCACGTGTCCGTCGTGAGCTGCTGTGTGCAACGGGGTGGTGCCATCCTGCATGGCCTTGTCTTTGTCTGCATTGCTCTCCAGCAACAGCCGTGCAACTTCCAGCTGCCCCTCCTGAGCCGCAATGAACAACGGGGTGGCGCCATCCTGCGTGGCCTTGTCCTTGTCCGAATTGGCCTCCAGCAAAAGGCGTGACCTCCCCGTGTCATTTGAAAGCTCCCATGTACAACGGGGTGGCGCCATCCTGCGTGGCCTTGTCCTTGTCCGAAGTGGCCTCCAGCAAAAGGCGTGCGACCTCCACGTGTCCTTCCTGAGCTGCTATGTGCAACGGGGTGGTGCCATCCTGCGTGGCCTTGTCCTTGTCCGAAGTGGCCTCCAGCAAAAGGCGCGCGACCTCCACGTGTCCTTCGTGAGCTGCTATGTGCAACAGGGTTGTGCCATCCTGCATGGCCTTGTCTTTGTCCGAATTGGCCTCCAGCAAAAGCCGTGCAACCTCCAGCTGCCCCTCCTGAGCCGCAATGAGCAATGGGGTGGCGCCATCCTGCGTGGCCTTGTCCTTGTCCGCATTGGCCGCCAGCAAAAGGCGTGCGACCTCCACGTGTCCGTCGTGAGCTGCTGTGTGCAACGGGGTGGTGCCATCCTGCATGGCCTTGTCTTTGTCTGCATTGCTCTCCAGCAACAGCCGTGCAACTTCCAGCTGCCCCTCCTGAACCGCAATGAACAACGGGGTGGCGCCATCCTGCGTGGCCTTGTCCTTGTCCGAATTGGCCTCCAGCAAAAGGCGTGCGACCTCCACGTGTCCTTTGTGAGCTGCCACGTACAACGGGGTGGTGCCATCCTGCATGGCCTTGTCTTTGTCTGCATTGCTCTCCAGCAAAAGGCGTGCGACCTCCACGTGTCCTTCCTGAGCTGCTATGTGCAACGGGGTGGCACCATCCTGCATGGCCTTGTCTTGGTCTGCATTGGCCTCCAGCAAAAGGCGTGCGACCTCCACGTGTCCTTCCATGTACAACGCGGGGGTGGCGCCATCCTGCGTGGCCTTGTCCTTGTCCGAATTGGCCTCCAGCAAAAGCCGTGCAACCTCCAGCTGCCCCTCCTGAGCCGCAATGAGCAATGGGGTGGCGCCATCCTGCGTGGCCTTGTCCTTGTCCGCATTGGCCGCCAGCAAAAGGCGTGCGACCTCCACGTGTCCTTTGAAAGCTCCCATGTACAACGGGGTGGCGCCATCCTGCGTGGCCTTGTCCTTGTCCGAATTGGCCTCCAGCAAAAGGCGTGCGACCTCCACGTGTCCTTCCTGAGCTGCTATGTGCAACGGGGTGGCACCATCCTGCATGGCCTTGTCTTTGTCTGCATTGGCCTCCAGCAAAAGGCGTGCGACCTCCACGTGTCCTTTGAAAGCTCCCATGTACAACGGGGTGACGCCATCCTGCGTGGCCTTGTCCTTGTCCGCATTGGCCTCCAGCAAAAGGCGTGCCACCTCTGTGTGGCCGTGCTCGGACGCCTCGAACAGAGGGGCCGGATCGCCCAAATCTGGGTCTTGCGGTCTTTGTAGAAAAGTCTCCACTTCTGCTGACAAGCCACGTCTAGCTGCATCCCGAAGTGCTGTCACTTGAGGATCCGACGGTGGGCAGAAGAAAAAGGAACTTCGCCAGGTCCTAGGGTGCCATCGTCATCTAGAACCACCTTGTCCTCCAGGAATACCAGCCTTTGTCTGAATCTTGACACACCACAAATGCTGTGCAAGTGTTGCTTCAGTGCCCGGACGGGATGCATGCCGGCAGGCTGCGTCTCAAGGAAAGTTGCCAAGTCAAGGGCAACGAGCTCTTCACCCGACACGGTCTGAGTCCGCAGCATGGCCGATGCTAAGCCGAAGAGAGGTGGACTCCAAAGAACAAGCTTCGCTACATGTGCTCTGTTTTGTCAAAATATGCTTGGGCTATTGATCCCAATGCTGCGTCCATACATTTTGTGGAGGTGCGGCCTCCTCATCAATGTCTGCTGTTGGAAGCGCAGAAAATGTACGCACCTTCATAAATGGAATAGGGCTTGGCCGGTATTATACTATGGTAGTCATAACTCAGATGTTGGTATAAGCCCGACTAGAATCGAAAAGGGATAATATATAGAGGCCTTAATTATTAGAATAGGGTTTTGGGGTACAATATACCATAGATATATAAAATAGTATAGGCAATTATTCAGGCCCCTATAGTGTAGTACCCGCTTAGTGGCCTTTATAGTAACCCTCATAGGCCCCTTTAAAGGAACCCTAGGAACCCTATAGTTAATTATCTAGGCCCCCATATTATTCCAAGACGTCTAGTCGGGCTCTGCGCTTGGACAGGACCGGCCGACGACTCGAAGCGCCGCTCTGCATCGGCACGACGCGTCCCGAGCAGAAACTCAATCCTCTTACAAGGGCCTCCGAAACCCCAGAGTAGGTTTAGGGTTTTGAGGTGATTATAGGCCATGATCCTCTCCTAAACCCTATGGTAGGTTTAGGGTTTAGGGGTGATTATAGACCATGATCCTTGCCCCCTGCTCAGGCCCTCACTCATGTCTTCCCAGTCACAGCTATCACTTCTTCTACAAGTGCACATGGCGACTCCGACTATGATCAGGGAATCGCAGTGTCAACGACTGGTTCTTGACATTTTGGTCATTGAAATGCTGAATAGCGTACTGCAGTAACGCTACAGCCTGAACTCCTAAACCATAAGCCCTAAATAGGATTTTCGAAGGAGAACCCTTGTAGAAGCGTTGGTTGGTATCCGAACAGGACCCGAAAAGCCAGTAGGAATCCCAAACCGCTTTTGCTTGTAATGCACAACTGCATTTTGCAACCCTGCAGGCAGTCATAAAACTTCCGCAAGAAAAAAGGAACCACAATGGAGACTATAGGTAATTACTTACGCCCCTCTATTATCCTACCCTCATAGTAGCCCATATAGTAAGCCTTTTGGGCCCTCTAGACGAGCCCTTTACTATACTGAACTTAGAACCCTAGCAAAAATTAGGATTTTAGCTGTTTCTTACGGATTATAATAACCAAAAATTCAATATTATTTCCAAGTACCCCTTAGTTTAAAGGAACCCCAAACAAGAAGCCCCCGACTCCCAAGGCCCGGACGGCTCCCAGGGGTTACCGAGGTGGTGGAGCCTCTCTATGTTCTTGCCTGAGCGCTTCACCTCGGAGAGCGGTGGAGGGCTTAGGGCTTAGGGGCTTAGGGGTTAGGGGTTTAGGGGTTTAGGGGTTTAGGGTTTAGGGTTTAGGGTTTAGGGGTTTGGGGGTTTAGGGGTTTAGGGGTTTAGGGTTTACAGGGTTTCGGGGTTAGGGGTTTGTACACCATAAGCTGAAGTGGAAGACGATCACGCAGCAGAACTTGCTGTAGCAAACAGTGGTACACAATTCAATGCGACATCCTATAACACCACAGTATAAAAGATTGCTATAGTTGACCATTACATCACAATGTCCTGAGCCCCAAGCCCCAAAACTAAATTGGAGTACTGGGCAGTCATGGATGCATAATTATTATAGGGGCCCTAATGCTTAAAATTGGGTTTTGGGTCCCATTATACAATGAGTATATTAGGGAATCCCCAAAATAGTATAGGTAGTTGTTTAGGCTGCGTGCCGATGCTGCCGAGCCATGGGCCATGTGAGCAAACAGCTCGAATGGCCTCGGCGAGCAGAACTGACAGTGGCGTACTATAGGGGCTAACCCTAGGGATCTAAGGCCTCATATATTAAGGTTATTAAGGCTTTTGGGCCCAAAGACCATACTATTACAAGGCTTTTGGGCTATTTTGACCCCTAGGGTAAATGATTAGAATAGGTTTTGGGGCCCATAATACTATAATTCTAAGGAGCCCCCCAAAATAGGATACGTAATCATTACAAGGCCCTTATAGTAAGGGACTGAAGGATTCGGATTTTGGGGCTTATGGTGCTGTTTATGGTTCAGGGTGTTGGATTCAGGGTTGGGGGAAGCCGACGCTCCAAAACTCTAAACAACATGGGGGTTTAGGCTTTAGGCTTTAGGGCTTAGGGTTTAGGGTTTAGGGTTTAGGGTCCTAACAGCTAGACCCAACACCTAAATTGATTGCTGTGCCTTCTGCAGCAACCTTGTCTCAGACCTTCAACCTTAAGGCCTAGTTGCATCCGAGGGTCAGCCCTTTCTGATTCAGCGCAGTGAAAGCACGCTGCCGCAACGCATCCACATCTATGCCTCGGGACTGCGACGGTTTCGGGTTTAACGTTTAGGGTACTTGGCGGATCACGCGACCGCGGTTGCATTGCCTTACTCGGGACCATGGTACGTATAATCGGCTTACTAAGCCCCCCGATCCTGCAAGTGGGGTTTGTGGTTTAGTGGAAGGGTGGCAGGACACTACGGAAAGGATGGGAACAGCTTCATCGTGCCTTTAGCTGCTACATCACAGGGAGCTTGTTTTGTGCGAGCAGATTCACGCAGCATGCAAGTGGATATGCTCTGCCCAGCCACGAATCAGGCTGCTGTGAGAACCAGACATACCCATAGTGGTCCAATACTAAAGGGCGTGATACGCCCAAGAACCTACACACTCCAAAGCCTGGGCCATAGACTCTAAATCCCAGAAACTCCAGTATAGAGGCCTTAATAATTCGGAGAGGGTTTGGGAGGGATACTATTACAAGTTTGTCCGACCCCTAGAGTTCACCCGACGTACTAAGAGCCGAAGCTCTCGACCGCGAACCTCAAACTCTGTGAAACAAACCAAGGAAGCGACTCTGGGAAGCCTCTCTCGCAAGATTCAGCTCCACTGCCTCCTCAGGAATAATTCAGGAATAATTCGAGTGGGGTTTAAGGTTTAAGCGAAGGTTTCGGTGGGGCTTTGTGGCGGTTGTGCAGGCTAGTTTATAAGGAGAAAACCGACTAGGTTTGGTATGGGGGAGGGCCTTCCTCAGACAGGGGCAACGATGCCAGAACGGCATGTCCTTTCATGCGCAGGTTTAATAACCCATCCTGCTAACCCGAGTGATCTACTAGCTAAAGTAAAGCAAAGGACCCTAGGGCTTCGGATAAGGAGCCCTTGCCCCTCTTGGTCTTCTGGTGGGCTCCGGGCTCCTGATTTTCTGTTTGTGTCTCCTGCTGGTCTCCTGGCAGTCGTGTTGGTCGTGGTGGTCTTCTTGGTCGTCGTGGAGCTCCATATCACTGTCTGGCTCTACTCTGGCATTGCATGCAATCACCCGATTGCACACACTTGCTCAGCGGCCCTCTCAAACGCGACAGCCCGTGTTTCAAGTGTCGCGTTGAGGGCTTAGAGAACAGGTCAGGGTGAGAGTGCTAAGTTTAAGGCTCAAGGTGTTCTGGGGCTTCAGGTTTAGACTCCTGACTTGCCACGGCCGCTAAGCTAGATCTGTCCCTGGAACTTACCGTCGTGGCAGTGTCGCTTGCGCCTTCATGGCAAACTCGAACTTGCCAAAGGCGCGTGAGATGAGCAGAATCGCCTGAGACTGAAAACCGAAGGACTCCAGGTTGCAACAGCTCCTGGATTGAAGACAGATAGGAGGTATACTACTGCTTTGCTACTGCTACTGCTACTGCTACTGCTACTGCTACTGCTACTGCTCCTGCTCCTGCTCCTGCTCCTGCTCCTGCTCCTGCTCCTGCTCCTGCTACTGCTACTGCTACTGCTAGTGCTACTGCTACTGCTACTGCTACTGCTACTGCTACTGCTACTGCTACTGCTACTACTACTACTACTACTACTACTACTACTACTACTACTACTTACTACTACTACTACTACTCTACTGCTACTGCTACTGCTACTGCTACTGCTACTGCTGCTACTGCTACTGCTACTGCTACTGCTACTGCTACTGCTACTGCTACTGCTACTGCTACACCTACTGCTACTGCTACTGCTACTGCTACTGCTACTGCTAGTGCTACTGCTACTGCTACTGCTAGTGCTAGTGCTACTGCTACTGCTACTGCTACTGCTACTGCTACTACCACCACTACTACTACTATACTACTACTACCACTACTACTACTACTACTACTATACTACTACTACTACTACTACTACTACTACTACTACTACTACTACTACTACTACTACTACTACTACTACTACTACTACTGCTACTACTACTGCTACTACTACTGCTACTACTACTACAACTACTACTACTGCTGCTACTACTACTACTACTACTACTGCTACTACTAGTACCACTACCAGTAGACAACAATAATGAACTATAGCCATAACAACCACGAGTACAAAGAAACACTAGTCAGCAAATAATGAACAGTAAATGCTGAATCAAAGAAAAGAAGTATGAAAGATCCTCGAAATTATAAACACCAATAAAAACAATGAGACGAATCACTAGGTAAGTGAATGTAATCATGTACTGTACATACATACATACATGCATATAAGCATATACATATGTATATATATATACACATATGTATATGAGTGATCAATATTAATGCTTCTGAAAATGGTTTCTTCGCGGATGATTGCTTTCCTTTCGTGGGACTTTCGCCCTCGCTTTCGCCCGACATGTTTGAGGTAGTAGTAGTAGTAGTAGTAGCAGCAGCAGCAGCATTTGTAGTAGTGGTCGCAGTAGTAGCAGTAATGGTAGTGGTAGTGGTAGTGGTAGTGGTAGTGGTAGTGGTAGTGGTAGTGGTAGTAGTAGTAGTAGTAGCAGTAGTAGTCATAGCAGTAGCTGTAGTAGTAGCAGTAGCCAGGCTGTAAAGGCCGACTCCAAGTCGTGGGCCATGGCGTGTGCCATAGCCTTCAATCAATGGGGCTTCTTTCACGGCGTCTTTCGCGCAACTGTATCGGACCTTTCGCGCTGAACCTATGATTTCACCACAATGATATCTTCTGACGTTGATGCTGCATGCACACCAGAAAGACCAATCCTTGAAGCGCAGAGGCCCTGAAGAAAGGCACAACCATGCCCAACTCCCCCACCACCTCCCACAACTTTTGGACTGGCAGCCGGGCGATTTGATTTTGGAAAATTATCTGGCGGCATGGCGGGACAGCGAGTTTGCAACCTGTATGCCTACGGACTGGTACAGTATATACCTTACAAGTCCTATATGGCCCAAATCTATTACGCACAACTTTCGCGGATTTTTGCTCTCCTTTCGCGGACCCATCGCGGATCTTTCGCGGACACACTAGTCTACATATTCAAACCGTCTTATACAAATGCCAACACAAGGACCATTTAGATCAATGCTCATATGCATATGATCCCACTGCGGCCCCCCCAATGGTTGGTACCCCCTTGCCGCCCCCCTCCCTGATCTTTGGTTCCCTGTGGCGTGGGAGGTCCCCACTCTGCGGCCTGGTATGGTTCGGGATTTGCGTCTGCTTGGGGTGCCTCCCTTCCCTCTGTGGTGTGGTGTCGTTCGGGTTGGGTCTGCTTGGGCTCCGGTGTGGAGTTTGGGGTAATTGTGTTTCTTCCTGGGAGGGTGGTGTCATCATCATCATCATCATCATCGTCATCATACGGCTCCTTGCTTAGGTCAACTGTCACAGGAACCGGGCCTGTCAGGAACGTGCTCCTCGTGACAGTTACATTTTCAACGCCCTCATGTCGGAGTCGTGGTGGGGAAGTGCCCACTGTCACAAGGATTGGGACGAGATCTTGGACGATCTTGGAGCCGGCATGTGGGAGAAGTGCACACATCGAGCATATACATGTGTATATATATATAAGTATGTATACACTTGTTCTTATTTTCTTATGTATGTATGTGAGTGTGTGTGTGTGTATATATATATATATGCATGTGTGTATTGTGTCTGTACCGGCGTGTGTGTGTGTGTGTGCGTATGCATGAACCGTGACAACAAATGAAAAAGAAACGACTATTACATAACAGCAAGATTGACTAAGCTATTTAAGAGGCACAAGAGAAAGAAATGATTGGAACTAATTGAGAGTAGGACCGATGAGATTCGAACTGACAGAGAAAGTTCATAGTCACAACACTATGAAGAACAACTGGGTAACACCGCTGATATAACAAGGGAGAGGATAACAGCACATGTGGCTCTGCTCAGCTTTGAAAGAACATCAAACAAGCCATGGCCCCGTAAAAGTGCTTGAAAATAATGATGCCTTCCCCCTCTTCTCAAAACGCCCTCCTCCCCCGCTCCATCTAATATAAAAGCTAATTTTCTGCATTTTATTTTAATATTAGGGGGGGTTCGGGGCATCTGGGTATGAGTCGGATTGACAGTGATCAGTATTGAGCCACACACTCAGACAAGTAACCAACGACTGTTTCACCTGTAGACCAGACTGTGAGCCTCCCTGAACCCTAAACCCGAACTCTTGGCCCCAAAGCCCTGAAGCCCTAAACCTTGAGCCGTAAACCCTCAGCCCTAAACCTTTAGCCCTGAGCCCTAAACCCTAAAGCTCTGGTCCTTTCGGTAAATTAGTACTGCTGTAGATTTGGCTCTATTAAAACTAATACAATCCTCCGCCCCCCTAATGTTTTTGATTAACTTTCAATTGTGGGCGAGAAACCGCGAAATTCCAAGGGCCGGGAGCTTTTATATTAGGGGCGGCTTTAATATTCGGGGAAAGCGATTGCCTAGCAAGGATGGACGAGTGAACAAACACAACGGCGCCCGAAGCCGAGCCACCTCGGCCTCTCCTCCGAGGAAGCTATAGCCACCAACGCGGGAGTTCGTCGCCGGAGGCGGCCACGTAACCTGGCCAATGATCGACTGGAGGCTCCTCTCTCCATTGAAACTGATGGACCCTTTTAAGGGATCCCTTTAAGGGCTCCCTTTAAGCGCTCCTTTAAGGGATCCTTTCAAGATTTGATCTGGAGTTCTAGACCTTCGAAGGTCCTATCAGCTTTACAATTGCTTCAATCTGCATGTCTTCAAGTCGAGTGGACTGAAAAGGTCTTATGCGGGTTCTATACGGGTTCTGCACGGGTCCTGCGATTTGGAGCTTTATTGTACTACTGCTAGGGATGTTTTTGAGGGAAGAAAATGGGGGGGGGGGGGCATTCCATCTTTCGGCTTAGTGCACCTCCAGGTCGAAGAGTATCACGCACGCGGATATGCCGGCCTGCCCGGTTTAAGGATTAGGGTTTTTTATGGCTTGGGATTAGGAGAGGGAAAGGCAGGAGCCTCACTTGCAGGTTAAGGCTTAAGGCTAAACCCTGGATTCAAAACTCTTTCGGGTTTCAAGTTTAAGGCGAGACCCTCCAACCCTAAACCCTGTAAGGTTGAGAGTTCTGTAGAACCTCTTGAAGTGTCTAAGGATTTTGCAATTCTGTTTTCTGGATTTAATCAGCCCGGGGCATGACCGCTAGTACGGTTCTAATATTGCCTTTATTACTGCGATTACCAGGATTTTCGCTTCGCACCATCACTACCTTTGTTACTAGCGTTGCTCATCTTCGCATGAACACCACTACTGCTGCTACTGCTACTACTACTACTACTACTACTAATCATAATAATAATAGTAAGAAGAATAATAATACTAATACTACTACTACTACTACTACTACTACTACTACTACTACTACTACTACTACTACTACTACTACTACTACTGCTACAACTGCTACAACTGCTACAACTGCTACAACTGCTACAACTGCTACAACTGCTACAACTGCTACAACTGCTACAACTGCTACAACTGCTACAACTGCTACAACTGCTACAACTGCTACAACTGCTACAACTGCTACAACTACTACTACTACTACTACTACTACTACTACTACTACTACTACTACTACTGCTACAAGTGCTACAAGTGCTACAAGTGCTACAAGTGCTACAAGTGCTACAACTGCTACAACTGCTACAACTGCTACAACTGCTACAACTGCTACAACTGCTACAACAACAACAACTACTACTACTACTACTACTGCTACTGCTACTGCTACTGCTACTGCTACAGCTGCTACAACAACTGCTACAACAACAACTACTACTACTACTACTGCTACTACTACTACTACCACGACTCTTTCTAACAGTACTATACTGGATATTGTTACAAGTTTTGCCGTTAATATGATCAACAGGCAGAGGAGGAGAGGGATGAGGCTCATCATTCGATACTGCTACTACTGACTGTCATGCTGCACTCCTAACTAAACCTGACATGCAAGTTTCCGAACAGAACGGACCCCGAAAAAAGCCCCTAAAAAGTAGGATCCTGGCCCCCAAATACGGTCCCCCCCTTCCCCGAAGTTTGGGAAACTTCCGAGTGGACCCTCATAAACCCCTAAACCCTACAGATCCCTTTAAGGAACCCTAGAGATCCGTGTAAGGATCCCGAAAAACAGGGTAACCCCGGCCCTAACTTTCGGAAACCCCCCCATATTCCTGCGAGCGAACACCTCCATTGTCTCCCACCTGCTCGAGCTGGCAGGCCATCTGATGGGCCACCACGCAGCCGTAGGAGTAGCCTGGACCAGGGTTTAGGGTTCATAAGGTTTAGGGGTTTAGGACCCTTAGCCATTTTGGGGTTTCGTGATTCGGGTTTAGGGTTTAGGGACCCTCAGCCGTTTGCTCGTTCTTAGAAGGGCAATCATAATGATAGCGGTAGTAGTAAGACAAATTTTAGTAGCAACGAGGTGTTGAAACCAATTGAGGTCACACTAAACTACGAATCACAATAAAGACGACAGGTAATCACCACCATCATCACAAGTAAGTAGTCACCATCAGCTCAGAATCAGCATCACAAACCCTGTTGTGCGTTCTTCATGTAGCTCCTTGCACGGAGCAGAGACGCTCCTAACAAAAACCCAAGTGTCCCAGGCTCTGGGCTTTGGGACAGCAGCCCATCGGTTCAGTCCCAGATACCGTCCCTAACAACGTAGACCCCCCGACCTCAGGAGGAATTCTCATGGGGATTCCTAAAGTTAACTCGGCCCTTACCCATAGGCCCCAAAGTAGTTCCATTTTGGGGAATACCTAATAGGATTCTAAATATGAACCCCAAAAAGGAACTACTTTAGGGCCTTAGGGTAGAGGAAGGGCTTCATTATCAAGGGGCGTACATAACTAGTACATCTTCGCCCGGGGCAAGAAACGGGCATCTCTTATCCCTCTGAGAACCCTGATGTTTGGCAGCTCGCGCCTGCGACAAAGATGGGATTCGTGTCCTCGGGCTCAGCAAGTATCTGTTTGAGATTGTGCGAAGAGAGAGACCATTGGCATATGGCGTTACATGATGTATGGTATAAGACGTCCGACGTCATACGTAATATCATATATCATATCGCGCGTACGACTTACACATCACCCGTGAGCAGGCATCTGCTGAATTTCTAGGAGCCCAGCAGAAATGCCACCGTTCTTTCTGGCATCTTCTAAGACCTGCCATGGTGTTTCCTTTCCAGGATTTAGAGTTTTGGGTTTAGGGTTTCGGGATGTTTCGGGCCTAAGGTTTGGAGTTTGGCTTTAGGGCTGCAAAAGCTGCGATGGACTTCGGCTTGCACATCCCCGGCCCTTTTCCTCACGAGGCAGTCCGGCAGCAGATGCCCATCCGGCTGACGCTGCTATACAAGCAGTTTGCGAGGCGGAGATGCAATATGCCCCTTCGCTACGGGCTCCTGAACCTTGCATGCTGCATCCTATCATTCTGATCATTGCCCTAAACCCTGAAACCTAAACCCTAATCCCTCAAAATCCCTAAATCCTAAACCCTACCCTAACCCTGAATCCTAAACCCCATCAAGTTTGGTCAGCCATGGGATCGACATCTGTACACCAGACGTCGGCCGTCCGAGCAGCACGGGCCCTCTCTCTCGCTCTGCCGACCTGCTGACTCAGACTTTGGCGGCCTCGCGAAGCGCGGGGAATCACATCAATCCGTGTTACTGATCCTAGCAGTAGCAGCAGCAGGAGTAGTAGTGGTAGTAGTAATAGCAGTACTAGTAGTACTAGTAGTAGTAGTAGTAGTAGTAGTAGTAGTAGTAGTAGTAGTAGTAGTAGTAGTAGTAGTAGTAGTAGTAGTAGTAGTAGTAGTAGTAGTAGTCAGTAGTCAGTAGTCAGTAGTCAGTAGTCAGTAGTCAGTAGTCAGTAGTAGTAGTAGTAGTAGTAGTCGTAGTAGTAGTAGTAGCAGTAGCAGTAGCAGTAGCAGTAGCAGTAGCAGTAGCAGTAGCAGTTGCAGTAGCAGTAGCAGTAGCAGTAGCAGTAGCAGTAGCAGTAGCAGTAGCAGCAGCAGTAGTAGTAGTAGTAGTAGTAGTAGTAGTAGTAGTAGTAGTAGTAGTAGTAGTAGTAGTAGTAGTAGTAGTAGTAGTAGTAGTAGTAGTAAGTAGTCAGTAGTCAGTAGTCAGTAGTCAGTAGTCAGTAGTCAGTAGTAGTAGTAGTAGTAGTAGTAGTAGTAGTAGTAGTAGTAGTAGCAGTAGTACGACTACGACGACGACTACTACTAGTAGGGTTAGCTTAGTCGGTCGCTCAAGGGACTTCTTGCGGCTTCGATTCGAGGCCAACTTGACAAGGCCAGAGGTTTTTGCGATTTGGGTTTGGACTCTATAGGGTTTGGTGCCTGTAAATGCTCTATAATTCTACAGGAACAATGCCGTCTAGGGTTTTCTCATGCTCTAAGGGGCTTTGTAGTGTTCTACAAAGGGGGTAATGTAAGACTTTTAAGGTTGTAGAAGGTTGTATAGGGTACCCGCGGAGCAAAGACCGTAAAACACTGGTAAACCGATATGCTTCCCATATCCTCTTCCATAGCGTACAATACAGAGGTATTCTGTTTCATTCAGACTGACCCCTAAACCGTAATGGGGCGAACCGGTATTCTTACTATTTGAACCTATGCTGCTTACTTAAGAAGTATAGAACTCTAAATCTTAAACCCTATTTGGCTCTGGGCGACCCGACATCCTACAACACACTGAAGGACCCCTCCTAAACCCTAAACCCTGAAACTCAAACCCCAAACTTTTAAACCCTAAACCCCCAAACCCTAAACCCTAACCCCTACACCCTATAGATCCCTTTAAAAGGAACCCTTAGGCATCCCTTTGAAGGTGACCCGAAACCCGACAATCCAGCACCCTCGAGCGCGAAGGCTGAGGCAAGCGCCTTGCGGGACTGCCCTGCCATGAAATGGATGAACCTGCACTTCGTTTTTCTGGGTCCTTGTTAAGGAATTTAATTTAATAGTTACCATAACAACGCAACCATATAATTTACTATCGATCCCTACTATGGTAACTTAAATAGAACCCTTAACAAAAACCCAGTAAAAGGCTTTGGGTTTAGGGTTGAGGGTCTAGGGTTTAGGGATTCTCCGTGTTAGAACATAGTTTAAGGCAGGTTTAGGAGTTTAGGGCCAAGGCAGGAAATCTAGGGTTTCGGGCTTTGGGCCAATGTTTCAAAAAACTGCGCGACAAGCTTTAGGCTGCCGACCCGCGGTAGTGCACAAATCCTGGAAGGCTCAAGTGACCACTCAAGTGAACAATCCTAAACCGCTCCGCTCCGCCCCAAACCGCAAACCCTCAACCCCCAACCACACCCAAAACCCTCAAAATGTCTAGGGACCCCCTAAACCCTAAACCGTTGAGGGTCTTGAACTCCAGGCAAAGAGGCCTGCTGGCGGCAAGGATGCTCAAGGCACCCAGCAGGCAGTGGCACAGGCTGCAGCTGGCCCTGATGGGGGTCTTGACCGTTTCATAAGGTTCACATGGGAGTTTCCGAAAATGGGGGGTACCTTAATTTGGGGTCCTTATACTACGGATCCTACTTTTTAGGGTAATATATTAGGGTCCCCTATTTTCGGAAACTCCCACAGGGTGCCTTAGTTGTTAGAGTAGGGCTCCTGTAAGGGTTCTTGTAAAGGGTTTCTAGAAGCGTAGGTTCCGTGCATGGGCTTCCAATTTATGTAAGGTTCAAGGGGTCAGGGGCTGAGGGCTCGCGAATGCGGGCTCTGGTGGTGGTGGTGGTGGTGGTGGTGGTGGTGGTGGTGGTGGTGGTGGTGGCGGCGGTCTTTGTGTTGCTGCTGCTGCTGCTGCGGGTGCGGGTGGTCGCGGTGGCGGTGGCGGCGGTGGTGGTCATCGCTCGTAGCGGTAATCGTAGTGATAGCCGAAACAAAATCAGAAGTATGACCATCGTTGTCGTCATCATCATGGTCATCAGTCGGCGTGGTGGTGAAAGGGGTCAACACGGCTAGGGAAGGACGCAAGCCTCGACAGACCCCGATGCGGAGAGCTCGCAACCCTAAACCTGCCAAGTGGAGAAAGACAAAGTGGAAGGATCCGGACCAGGGGAAACCTGTAACCGAAAAGACCTATTGTAGGGTTCCTTACTATGGTTTTTTATGTATAGTTCCCCAAAACGGTAGGTCTTTTGGGCCACAGGAAGAGGTGGAAGATCCCCCAAAAGAGAAAAGGGCAGAAGCTCCCTGCTGTGCTGGCTGTGGCGGCGCAGAAGATGCTAAAAAACAGCTGCTGTTAGTGCTGCTGGCCTCTCATTCTAGCCTCCCTGGATGAAACCCTAAACCCTAAACCCCCAAACCCCTAAACCCTAAACCCCTAAACCCCTAAACCCTAAACCCTAAACCCTATACCCTAAACCCTAAACCCTAAACCCCTAAACCCCTGAACCCCTGAACCCTAAACCCTAAACCCTAAAGCTTAACCCATACCATGGTGGAACCAGGCTGCTGCTGCTGTTGCTGTCCCTGTCGCTGTCGCTCTCGTTGCTATTCTTGTTCTTCTTCGATAACTAGCTCGCTTTTGCAGCTGCTACTGCCAATTATTGCTCTGAATCTTCTTAACCTCCGCCTTCTTCTTCCTCCTGCTGCGGATACTGCTGTCGCTGTCGCTGTCGGATTGCGGGTGTTGGGCTTCGGAAGGTTTGGTTTCGCGAAGCGCGACTTTGGCATTTAGGGCTCAGGATTTTGCGACTTCAGGTTTCGGCTGTTATTGGGGCCTTCAGAATTAGAATAGGGGTCTGGGGCCCATTATACTACAAATATATTAATGAACCCCTAAAATAGTATTGTTACTTATTTAGGCCCCTATGTTCTTTAACCCTGCCATACATCCCTTAAAGAACCCCGTAAGGATCCCTTTAAAGGAACTCTGCTCTCATTGTTTAGGCCCCCATGGTACCCATCCCCATCTGCCTTCGCAAGTCGCTCCGCTGGAGGGACGCGAGGAAGATGTTTATGACCTGAACGGTTTAGAGTTTAGAGTTTTGGGTGTAGGGTGTAGGGTTTAGGGTCTAGGGTTTAGGGTATAGGGCTTAGGGTTTAGGGGCACTGGGTCTGATTGCTATGTTGAATATTGTTGTTGCTACCCTGTGCTTGTTAGGTCCTGTCACTAGAGGATCTCAAAATTATGAGAATCCCGCTTCTCTAACTATCAATCGCATGCATCCCTAGTGTCATTCGAATCCGTGACATGAAACTGCTCTCTCAGTGAGTGAATGTAATAACACTAACACGAAAGTGCAAGCCACATGCCATGTTTTTGCGCCAAAGCGTATCCCCCACGCACCCGATTGCAAACACGCGTCGAGATTTCCGTGAAGATGGGAACTGCAAATATGGCTGGTTTTGTATGTCAGCATATGTGCAGTAGCATCTTGTCTTGTCCTGTAGAATACTAATTGTCGCGAGCCTTGTTTCGGCTGCGGTTTGGGACCTGCTTACCTTACCATAGGATTTTGCAGGTGAAAAAACGACTAAAGCCGACAATGCAGGTGAAAATCATCCAAAGTGTTTATCGAAAAACTAAAATGCGATAATTGGGGTGCCCCCCGGCGGGGTGCCATAGACTCCCCCGCCTGCCCCGGCCCACCAGACAATGCACAACCAGCAGCAAAGCACAAGACAACTGACAAAACATCATGGCATTACTGGGGCAGGGGTGGCCAAGGCCAGGGTCCAGCTAGGACAGCAACTTCCGCATAACTTCTGCATAGACCCCCTGGGTCTATGCAGATTATCGCGCATGCAGAAGTTGTGCTCTTAGTTAGTTAGCTCTTAACTTCCGCATAACTTCTGCATAATTATCGCGCTTATGCAGAAGTTGCGCGATAGTTATGCAGAAGTTATGCGGAAGTTACGCGGAAGTGGCCGTCTTATGCGGCCGGGAGGACCGTTATGCAGCGACATCCGCTATAAATCGCATAAGGCCCCCCCGGGCTGCATAGGACAGCAACTTCCGCATAACTTCCGCATAACTTCTGCATAGACCGCCTGGGCCTATGCAGATTATCGCGCGGACCCAAACCCAACTTCTGCATATATGCAGAAGTTGTGCTCTTAGTTAGCTCTTAACTTCCGCATAACTTCTGCATAATTATCGCGCGTATGCAGAAGTTGCGCGATAATTATGCAGAAGTTATGCGGAAGTTATGCGGAAGTGGCCGTCTTATGCGGCCGGGAGGACCGTTATGCAGCGACATCCGCCATAAATGCCGTAATTTGCATAAACGTCCGTCACGGCCCACGGAAACCCTAGACGGTCACACGCCGGTGAACTTGCCCAGAATCTCCAACTCCAAACCTAGACCAGACCTCTGCACTAAAGCTTAAACCCTAAGCACCCAAGAGAGCACAAACCCAAACTCCCAACCCCCAAACCCTAACACTAAGCCCTAAACCTCTAAACCCGTAAATTCCCGCAAACCCAAACCCAAGTAGTGGTCGGAGTAGTAGTAGTAGTAGTAGTAGCAGTAGTAGTAGTAGTAGTAGTAGCAGTAGTAGTAATAATAGCAGTAGTAGTAGTAGTAGTAGTAGTAGTAGTAGTAGTAGTAGTAGTAGTAGTAGGAGTAGGAGTAGTAGTAGTAGTAGTAGTAGTAGAAGTAGAAGTAGTAATAGTAGTAGTAATAGTAGTAGTAGTAGTAGTAGTAGTAGTAGTAGTATTAGTAGTAGTAGTAGTAGTAGTAGCAGTAGCAGTAGCAGTAGTAGTAGTAGTAGTAGTAGTAGTAGTACTAGTACTAGTACTAGTACTAGTACTAGTACTAGTACTAGTACTAGCACAAGTACTAGTACTAGTACTAGTACTAGTACTAGTGTTAGTCTTAGTACTAGTATTAGTGTTAGTATTAGTATTAGTATTAGTATCAGTATTTGTTTTTGGTATCAGTATTTGTTTTTGGTAGTCTTAGTGTTAGTGTTAGTATTAGTACTAGTATTAGTATTAATATTAGTATTAGTATTAGTAGTAATAGTAGTAGTAGTAGTAGTAGTAGTAGTAGTAGTAGTAGTAGTAGTAGTAGTAGTAGTAGTAGTAGTAGTAGTAATAGTAGTGTTAGTATTAGTATTAGTACTAGTATTAGTATTAGTATTAGTGTTAGTATTAGTATTAGTATTAGTATTAGTATTAGTATTAGTATCAGTATCAGTATCAATATCAGTATTAGTACTAGTTTTAGTATCAGTATGAGTATTAGTATGAGTATTAGTATGAGTATTAGTATCAGTATTAGTATTAGTATTAGTATTAGTATCAGTATTAATATTAGTATTAGTATTAGTATTAGTATTAGTATTAGTATTAATATTAGTAGTAGAAGAGCCTACTACCCAAAATCTTGAAACCTTACCCTAATCTCCAAAACCCTAAACCCTTAAACCCCAAAATCCTAAATCTCAGGCTGCTGCTGGATCTCAATGCGCAAACTCCCCCCTTCCCCCTCCGGTTATGCTGCGGGGCCCCCGGTTATACAGAAAAACTGCTTCAAAAACGAGCATGTGCGCAAAATCAAACAAAAAAAAAAAGCAAAACTCGTAAAGTGAATACTTTCAATGTGATTTCTGGAAGGGGTAGCTTTTTACACAGTGGATTCTCTTACATAGTGCCGAAACAAGGCTCGCGAAAATTAGTACTGTAGAAACACCGAGAAAGAAACACTTTATCCAGAATGGCCACGGTTATCCACGGGTTCCCTAGCCATTCAAAGTCACTGCTATCAGGATTTCAGACAGATATGCATATCCTGTTAGCCTTGTCGAAAGCGATAACGAAACAAACGTAGGAGAGACTCGCTAACACACACGGTCGTCACCCGTTTCTCGTCACGAACGAGTCAACTGGTTAAGACCACCGCTCATTTACTCTGTGTCCACGGGCCACATGTTTAATGCGTTCTGGGTTCACAGCATCCATGGCCCAACCATAACTGGGTTGTAGCTTAGGGACCCTTAGGTACCTCTATAGAAAGCATAAAGGGAAATAGAAAAGTTCCCGAAACAACTGCCACCGAGATAGTTAATGACGTGCAGAGTCTAATGTGAGCTCACACCTGGGGGACGCTATAAACCCTGATACGTTGAAGGGGACCTTTGAGCTCTGTGACTGCTGCTGCCTGAGGGTTTAGGGAATTTAGCGCGAATTCCACTTAATGTATTGACAAACTCACTAACAATAAAGAGCTAACCATTCCCAAACCCGAAACCTGGAAACTCCTAAACGCTAGATCCTAAAATCCTCTTGAAATTTTGTACCCTGAACCCGAAACCCTATCAACCCTTAATCCCTAAATCCGAAATCCTCCTGAGCCCCAATCTTCCGAGTGATAAGGCGAGGACCACGAGGTAGTAGAGCAGATTTTGGCCAATATGCGTCAACTCTGAGTCTAGCCACCTGCAAGGTTCTTCGGCTGTTGAGGTCTTTTAAAATATTAACAAGGTTGAAGGTTGAAACCCTAAACCAAAAACCCTACAACCCCATGGAGATTCGGGATTGAAGGTTTAGGGCTCTAGGGTTTCAGGCTGCCGGGCTGAAGGATTCAGGGCCAGGTTTGCAGGGCTTAGGGTTTGCATGGGGAAGTCTACCCAGAGGCTCCATAGTAGTTCCTTTTAGGGATTACCTTATAGGATTCTATATATGAGCCCCAAAAGGAACTACTTTGGAGCCTTAGGGTAGAATCTGGAAACCCACTGTTTTACGGATTATGCCCTAGAGAACCGGGGTCATACCTTAACTTACTTTCTTGTAGAGTATGTGGGGTATACAAGGCATCTGCAGTGCTCCTCAGCACATTGAACACGGATTACATTGCAAATGCAGGGCTCTTAATAGTTAGCTGAAACATCATTCTTCTGTATGAAAATACTGGTAAAACACAGCCCACAACCCTGTTTTCTATATATATATATATATATATATATATATATATATCTCTCTCTCTCTCTCTCTCTCGCGCGCGCGCGCAATCCTGCTCTGAAGAACCAGGCCCCTACATTGCAGCTTTGCTCTTCTGCGCCTTCGTATCAAGCACCATTCACTTAACCGCGCCGTGGGCCGTGGGCCGTGGGTTCCTAAACCCTACAGCCTTAGCTTTAGGGACTGTAGAGTGCCCAATGCTTCGATATCGCTGCTAACCCTTATTGATACCCCTAAACCCCTGAACCCTAAACCCTAATTCGCAACCCCAAACCCCTCCACTCCAATGTCGGGGCCTTATACTTGGAATAGGGTTTTGGGGCCCGTTCTACTACAACTAGAATAAGGAACCCCAACAAGAAACCCCAATTCACAACCCCAAACCCCTGCACCCTAATGTCGGTGCCTTTTCACTATACTGTAATTTTGATAAGGAGACCGGAGGCCCCCAAAATAGTATACCCTACTCAAAAACCCCAACCCCCTCCACCCTAAACCCTAAAATTGAATCCCAGACCCCTGCACCCTAAGCCTTAAAAGCCCCAAACCCCTGCGCCACGGGCTACGTCTGGCAAAGGTAGCCGGATGCCGTGCGAGTGAGTGTGCAGGTTACGAGAAAACTCGCTTAAAACGTCGAGCTGGGCGACTGGGCTGGGGGGCAATACCGGGGCCTTAATAATCAAAATAGGACTTCGGGGTATACTGTATACCATAAATATGTTATATTATGGGTTTAGGGTCTAGGGTTGAAAAACTGCCTCGTTGGATACTGAACTTCGTGCACTTCCTGTTCAAGAAGCAACGTTTTGCACACTTTTTGGCGCTGCTGCTACGATGAAAACGATCCGCTCAAACCGTCCTGTCACAGCCGCAAAGTAAGTGCAGCTGCTTGTGCACCCTCGACCTTGTTCCCTTGCTTTCTCCATGTACTTGCGCTGCATGAAATGGCGACGAAAAGACGTGCTTCCAATGGCCGCTAGAGAGCCGCGCCAAGGCCCCTTCTCCCTTCCCGACTCTGCGGAAGCGTCGCGACCAAGCGAACCATCCTACTCGGAGGCCTCAAAAGGTGGGATGAAGGTAGGTAGGATTAAGGATCCCTTATATAAGGACTCTGATATGGGACTATCCCACCTACCTTCATTCCACCTTTTGAGGCCTCCGACCTACACCGGACTGGGGGAAAGCTTCCGACAAACGCGTTCGAAGAGGTGTTTGTATCCGAGCTCTTCGGGCGAGTTCTGGGAGTCACCGCCCTTGCCGCCCGTTTCCCCATAGCCTTGAAAGCCAAGCAGCTTCTCCTGTCTAGTGCTTTGTAGGGTTTAGGGGTTTAGGGTTTAGGGTTTGGGGTGCAGTAGTGGGGCCTTAAGACTGTCTGGTTCTTAGCAGGGAATGGGGGAATGGATCCTTATAGTACAGTGGTCCCTCTAGAATCCCCAAGAATAGCCTCCATTCCCCCATTCCCTGCTAAGAACCAGACAATTTAAGGAGGGTTGAGGATCTACTGTAATGTGCGACTATACAGTATAGTATACTACAGTACAGTAGAAGCCATAAAGTTAGAATATCATTATCGTAACCCCTTTAAGGTAAATTATAGGGGATCCTACCATTAATCCATATTCCAACTTTCTGGAGTTCCCTTTTATACTATCTGCTACATAGGGTCTCCTGCATCTGCTGTTGCAGCCGCCACCCTGCGAAATCAATGAGTCGGCCAAGAGGGGTCACGCGGACGTCCTCAGTCACAATCTTTAAATTGAAATCAGATGAGAGTATAGTATAGTACAAGAACAAGATAGTATAGTAGAATACAATGCAGTATATATATATATATATATAGTGTGGCATGATATTATTACATAGTGCAATCTAACGTAATGTAGTCTAACTGGCATGGCCTCCGGAATGTCAGTCTTCTGCCAGAGCCAGCCGTCGCCAAGCCACCGGGGGTTGCCATCCCACTTGTCACGGTCTTCCTCGTAATAACGAACCGGCCGCAGGGCTTTCTCGCTATAAACATTGTGAGGATCGAAAGCGGCGTCCGCAATACGATTCCTTAGGGGTGGAGTACCCTAGCCCACAAAAAGGGTAACGTTTTGAATTATGGTAGGACTATATGAATCCCAGAAGGTTAAAGGTTACCTGCTCAGCTACTAAGATTCTCATTGATGCTGGGCCATAATGCCGGAGCAGTGTTTCGGATCCGGCTGCGGCCCTGCCGAAGATCGGAAGACAGTTGCAGCCTGCGAACGATGAACCACCCTCTGTAGTCTGTCTGGCGCAAAGACCTGTACATCGCGTCTTTATGGACCCCGAACACATTATGAGGCTCCGGGTACGGATACTCATCCGGCCCGTCATCGTCGTCCAGCATCCACAACTCTTCCCTCATTGACGTGACTTTGATCGCGGAGGAGAGATCGCTTGACAAGCGCATCAGAACTCCACCAGAGTGCACGAAAACTGCTCCAGACGGACCTGCAATAAGCGGGCGGGAATATGCCAACTCTCCATCGAAGTTGTCGCATTTCGGAAACCAGAAAAGAAGCCGATCAGCATCGCCATCCGCGCAACCTCGTCGTGACGGATCCCCAAGTGTCATAGCAGCTTGCCAAGCAGATCCTGTTTTCTGGTACACCCGAATCGCGTGTTCGCCGACAAAAGTGAGCAGAAGAGAAGAAGAAGCGCTTGACCACGCAATGCTGTTTACCGTTTTCCCCGACAGGTCTCCGGTCAACGGAACCACATCAACTCGTTCAAAAGCCTTGTCACCGCGGAGCTGTGTGAACACTACGTCGCGCCCTGCAGGACCCGCCTGAACGAAGATTGCTCGCAGAGTTTCCCTGTCCAGGCATGCCTGGGTTGGCCTTTAAACACCCTGAAAAATATTTATATATAGGGCCCCTTATAAACCCAAATAAGGAAAATAAAAAATGTCCCAAAATCCAACATAGATGCAGCTTCGCATCTGGTACCTGACTCGGTCAGGCGCTGCCACTTGATCGCTGCGGGGCATAGCCTAGGATAAAAAGGCCTCTCTTTTTGGTCTTGGGTAACTTTATAAGGAATCTAGGACTACAAAAAGGGAATAAGGGTACTACTGGGCATCCTAGTAGCTCCATTGAGATCAGGTGCACCTTGCTCCCGATGAAGACTCGCGCCACGGCAACGCCGAAGGAAGGGATCGGAAAGCCCTGCACGGCTTCAGCTGCAAGTATCTCCGCGGGCCAGTGCAACGGATGATCAACATCCAGCCGCACCTCCACAGCTTTGCCCTCGGAAGGCAGGATGATAAGCGATCCCGGTGCAGGGTGGCCTTGCATCCTTGGCTTGCCTTTCAGCTTGCCCTTCAAGAGGCCCTTGGGGCCCTTGCCCTTGAAGAATTCCTCCTCCTCCTCGCTTTCGGAAAAGCAGCTTTTGGGGTTTGCAGGAACAGCTGCACCAAACTTTCCGTAAGTTCCTTTTAATGGGCTAATCATGCACTGGCGCATGAGCAGGACCAAGCCAGAGTCCGGATCGAGACCACAAGCGTGGACGAACCTCTCCGGGAGTACGACGTTGCAGTCGAGATCCATGATTTGCAGCTCCTCCAAGAATCCACCCGCCCCAGGGAGCTCCCTCCAGCGGGCTTCCAGCTCAGACACACCTTCGCAAAACTGCAGCAAGAGCGTCACGTGCACCGAATCTGCTGTCGAACCAGCCTCCAACAAAGGATCCAAGTCTCGAAGTGTCCGGTCTCCAATGACGATCTGCTGCGTTGCAGGTGGAGGACCTACCTTCTGCTCGATCTGCGCCTTCAGAGCTGCACACGGAGACGAGGAATCCAGGACGAACCTACCAAGCTCTTGTCCCGCCGGTCCGCACACAGCAAACTCCACCTCTCGCGCCATGGCATAAGTTCTGTCTGTCGATGTACCTGTACAGTGTAACTGCACCTGTCCGTGAAAGAGCCGCAGTGAATGTTGGGAATGGGGTTTGGGGAGCAAATTCGAGAATTATGGTGCAGGCGGTCCTGTGAGTCTTTGGCACAAGTCGGCGAGTTGCAGCAGGGTTTAGGGTCGAGGGTTTATGGATCATGGGTCCTCGTAAATCGTGGTACGGGTCGGCGGGTTCACCTATGTTCATAAGTGCTGTTGGTATGGCAGCGGGAGCGGCAGCATGGAAACATAACCCATCGTTGCAATGCATGGAGTCTTGGTGCGATTGGCACTGCAGCTGCCATCAGATGGTGCATCGGAAATGTGTTCAGCTTTTTCTCTTGCTATGCTGATTGGGGACTTTCACAAAATGAAGCACTGGTGGGGCACTTGACATAGGGACCCAAAGCTGATCCCAAATTTCAGGAAACACGACAGCTCTTGCGACTGCAAGCTCTCTATATCGCGGTACCTCCCAAAACCAGACCTTCCAAAATCCCTTAACTCAGGAATATACCTTAAATTATAGTAGGATCCCTTATATGAATTAAAGTATATTCCTTAATTAAGGGATTTTGGAAGGTCTGGGCACAGCCCGCGCCTGAGGAAGGCATTGAAGTGCCTCAGGGCCACCTGGGACTTGGGGGTTTAGGAACTAAGAGTCCCCAAGCCCTAAAGCCCCAAAGCCTAAACGCCCACATCCCCAAACCCTACCTATAGCCGAAAAGACCTACCTTTTTAAGGAACTACATATATAGAAACTATAATAAGGAACCCTAAAAAAGTAGGTCTTTTCGGCTACAGGTAGACCTTAGGCCCTCTCGGGTTTAGGGGCTAAGGCCTTATAGGGCCTACTCAACGTTTCCGGCGATGGCACTTGCGGCATGGGTGCTTGGGGGGCTGGACCTGGAAATGATGTACTGAAATTGGGGTTTCGGGTTTGGGGTTTAGGGTTTAAGGTTTAGAATTTGTGAGCAAGAGGGTTTAGGGTTTGGGGTTTAGGCCGGATTGGTGGCAGTTCCGAGGAGGCGGAGGGGCAAACGCTTCCAGGCCACCACGAGGCCACAAAGGATCATGAGAGCAGCCAGGGGCCTCAGCGTCGCCAGGGACGGTCTACTTGGAGGATCATGGGACTCAGTAAGTAGGGTTACAAGTGCCTTAAATGGGGTTATAAGTACTTATAGGTATAGTTACCCTATTTGTAACCCCACTTACTAAGTCCCATGGTCCTTGAAGTACGCCCTCCTCTGCAGCACCAAAGAATACTAAAAGGGCACTACAATGATACTACAAACATGATACTACAGCTTGACGATTCCATATCACAACTATGCCCAAACTATTACAATTATTACTAAAGTGCTACAACTGCTGCTCTTTTGTGTGCTGGGGATGGCGCCACACTGATGCCAGGAGCCAGAGGGGCGATGGCAGCCCTGGGCTTGCTCGGGAGCTTGGAAACCCCAAAAGTCCCAAACCCGAAAACCCAGGGTTTGGGGGTTTAGGGGTTTAGGGTTTAGGGGCTTCGGGGTTTAGGGGTTTAGGGTTTAGGGGTTTAGGGTTTAGGGGTTTAGGGTTTAGGGGCCAAACTGCAAACCCCACAACCCTGAACCCAAGGCCGCCAATCCGTTTGAAAAGCTCTGCTTGGAGGCCCTTCTGACTTAGTGAGTCTACTTAGTATCCCCTAGAAACCCCATTATAATCCCCATAACCCACCTTACTAACCCTACTTACTAAGTCAAAAGGGCCTCCAAGTGCAGTTCATGATCCTTTAAGTAGACCCTAAACCCTAAACCCTTTTCGATCCCTTAAAGGAACCCCCAAAGCTCCCTTTAAGGAGCCCTTTTAAGGAACCCCCAAAGCTCCCTTTAAGGAGCCCTTTTAAGGAAGCCTTAGTTACTACTTGGAGGCCCTTTTGACTTAGTAAGTAGGGTTAGTAAGGTGGGTTATGGGGATTATAATAGGGTTTCTAGGGGATACTAAGTAGACTTACTAAGTCAACAGGGCCTCCAAGTAAGCCCCATGATTTTCCAAGTGGCCCAGAGCTGGATGCCCCACAGAACTGAGCTGGGCAGAGCCGAAGTCGTGCATGAGAATGACCTGAACCCCGAGGGCTTAGCTTGCGGCTTAGGGCTTTGGGGTTTAGCGCTTTGGGGGTTTAGGGGTTTAGGGTTTAGGGCTTTGGGGTTTAGGCTTTTAGGTTGTTTTTTGTGGTTTAGGGTTTAGGGCTTTGGGGCTTAGGGTTTTAGGGTTTAGGGCTTTGGGGTTTAGGGGTTTAGGGGTTTAGGGTTTAGGGCTTTGGGGCTTAGGGCTTTAGGGTTTAGGGCTTAGGGGTTTAGGGGTTTAGGGTTTAGGGCTTTGGGATTTACGGGTTTAGGGTTGAGGGCTTTGGGGTTTAGGGGTTTAGGGTTTAGGGCTTTGGGGTTTAGGGTTTAGGGGTTTAGGGTTCAAGGTCCAGCGGGGTCTACTGCGTGTTACTTGAGGAAAATGCCCGAAATTATCAGGGGCTTCACAGTGTGATTTCATTCCTCAAAGGGCATTCCCCACAGCTTAAGGTGTAGAGGGGCTTGGGGCGCTGAGGGCTAAGGGTCTTGAAGGGTTGGGGGGGTTTAGGGATTTCAGGTTTAGGGTTTAGCGGTTTGGTGATTGACTGAGTGCTGAGGTTTTCGGGTAGACCTGTGACGACCCATGTGCGAACCACATGGGGGTTTCCGAAAATAGGGGACCCTAATATAGTACCCTAAAGAGTAGGATCCTTATTATAAGGACCCCAAATCAGGTCCCCCTGTTTTCGGAAACGCCCGCATGTGGAGAACACGTGCCTGCCCCAGGGGCGCGAAGAGCACAAAGGCAACCCACCATGCGGCAGTGGTGAAGACGAGCCTGAGAGGGTTTCTTCGCTCTGGGCATACCCTACGGCTGATGGACAAAATCCTACATTACCCGCTATAAGGAATATACCATAATTCCCATAGTTTAGGGTCCTTAGGGTCATGCAGGATTTTGTCCATCAACAGTAGTTTGAAGGTTTCCGGCCTTTGGGCAGCAAAGGCTCAGACCAAACTCTAAACCTGCAAACCCTAAACTCTGAACCCAAAACCCTATACGCCCTAAACCCTAAACCTCCACCCTAAGCCCTAAACCCTGAACCCCTAAACCCTAAGCCCTGAACCCTAGATCCCCAAACCCTAAACCCTGTATCCCCAAACCTAAAACCCTAAACCCAAACCCTATAAACCCTAAATTCCTAAACTGGCCCGAAACCCAAAGCCCTGAACCCTAAATCCTCAAAACCCTGAAACCCCTCAACCCTAAGCCCTAAAGCCTGTATCCATAAACCCTAAACTTCCCTAAACCCTACACCCTAAATCCTAAATCCTAAACCCATAAATCCTAAATCCTAAACCCTAAATTCTGAACCCTAATCCCAAACCCTAAACCCTAAACCCTATAAACCCCAAGCTGCACTTCTCCAGGGCCGCGGCCAGCCCTTGAACACGTCCCAAGGAAGCCTCGGAACCATCGCAAGACTCCGACGAGCACCGGGTTAGTTGAAGGGGTTTTTGGGTGGGGTTTAGGGTTTAGGGCTTAAGTTGAGGGGTTTAGGGTGTAGGGCTTTAATTAGGGTTTAAGCTTAGGGTCAGGGCTTAATTAGGGTTTAGGGTTTAGAGTTTAGGGCTTAGTTAGGGTTTAGGGCTTAGGGCTTTAGGGCTTTAGGGGTTTAGGGTTTCGGGGTTTAGGTCCAACCTCCTGAACACTACAAAGCTCCTCGCGAAGCCCTGTGCAAAAAAGTCTTCCGAAGCCCTCTTCAGGCACAATACGGAAACCATGGGTATAGGGGCCTAGGGTCTTTACTTGGAGGCCCTTTTGACTTAGTAAGTAGGGTTAGTAAGGTGGGTTATGGGGATTATAATGGGGTTTCTAGGGGATACTAAGTAGACTTACTAAGTCAACAGGGCCTCCAAGTAGGGGTTTATGGTTTAGGGGTTTAGGGTTTGATGGAGGAACCTGACTAAGAAACCCTGGCCCTGTAACCCACAAAAAACTAGGGTCCATATTAAGAACCCGAATAAGGACCCATGGTTTCTTAATCAGGTTCCCACGCTAGGAGTTTTGGTTTAGGGTTTAGGGTTTACCTGTAGCCGGAAAGACCTACCTTTTTAGGGTTCCTTTTTATGGTTTCAAAATAAAAAATATGGAAAGAAAGGTAGGTCTTTTCGGCTACAGGTAGGGTTTGGGGAAGCTTTTCGGGGCCGAGCCGCAAATGCGTGGAATCTGCCATTGCCTGGAAGCCGAGCGGCCGCAGCTGCGACAGAAACCTGGCAGATCTCCCAGTAATGGGCCTTGATACTGCTGATGGGCAAAATCCTGCATGACCCTAAGGACCCTAAACTATGAGAGTTATGGTATATTCCTTATCATGGGTAATGCAGGATTTTGCCCGTCAGCCGTATGTAGAATAGGGTTCCTGTAGATTTAAGGGTTACTGTAGGGATCTGTCAGGGTTCTATTATGCGCTTTATCAGGATTTACTAGTTCCTTGCAGGCTTACTATAAGTCTACTATCGGCTTTATCAGGATTAAGTCGAGGTAATTGGAATAGGATTTCGGGCACACTGTGGTCTCAGCATATGTGGACCACAAGGGCATACCATGCCTAATCTTTGGCGTCGGTATTGTGGTATATTTTAGTGAACTTTGTAGCACAGAGAGAGGAAAAGTACGGTGGTGATTATAGCACTGCACCTCAAAAACAAGGCCAGAAACCTCAACGCCCCAAACCTTGAGGCCCAAATCCTAGACTCTAAGCCCCATGCAACTTCTATGCGGCACGTCTCTGCCAGCAGATGGGGCCAAAGGCCTGTCCCAGAGGGCCGCCCCAAGAATGCCAAGGTGAACGTGGAGAAGGTACGGCCTCAAACGTGGGTTTAGGGTTTAGGGGTAGTTCCTTTTGGGGCGTTCAGGGTTTGGGGTTTAGGGTTCAGGCTTTCGGGTGTTTAGGATCTTAGGTCCAGGGCTTTGGGCTCAAGACAGAGCTCTCTGGCGGTCAAGAGCCCCAAGGTACCCTACAACGATCGAACCCCGAACCTGTATAGTACCACTTAGCACGCTTATAGAGATGCTCGCAGATCCCTTACTAGGTGTCGATTTCAGCAGTCCCCAAAATCAATTACAATTAGAGCTTTTTATGAAACCTTACGGGAAATTGAAAACTATCCCCAATCGATACCTAGCAGGACCCAGCTTACAGATGCCCTATCGCACCCGTATTGCACAGGTATAGAACCCAAACCCCTAAACCCCTAAAACCAACCCCCCAACCCTGGTGAAACTGAGCGCGCAGGCAGCACCATCGTCCTGCCGGGCCAGTCCTGCGACCACGGTTGAGGTTTAGATTCTGGAGTTAGGGTTTAGGGCTTTGGGTTTAGGGTTTAGGGGTTAGAATTTGGGGGTTTAGAGGTTAGGATCTGGATCCAGCAGTTATGGCGTAGGCTCAGGCTTAAGGTTTGGGGCTTCAGGTTGGGGGCTTAGCTCCCTAAGCCATAAACCCTAAACCTGGACCCCAGGAAAACCTACCCGTTTCGGCTCTTCTATGATGCTTTCCTTGCAGAAGAGCGGGCCAGGAAGGGCTGAAGTTGATCTAATGTAGGGGCCTTAATAATTAGAACAGGGTTCCTTTAAAGGGATCCTTAACGGGCTCCTTTAAAGGGATCTATAATAGGGTTCTATAATATAGGGGCCTTAAGCCGTCAGAGGTTATTATTCGCATTCGCTCCAACAACGGATTTTGGCTTTCCTTTCCCCCCCCTACCCGTCTCCCCCCCTACCCTCTGCACAACAGCATGTTCCGCGTCCGAAACAGGCAGTCGTTCCTGTGCCAGTGCAAGCTCCATCCCCTCCTCCTACTACGGCTTGGGATTTGGAATGGAGGCGTAAAGTTCAAGACTCAGGACCTGAATCTTCCGGCTGACAGGGTTCAGAACCTGAAGCTTGCGAGCTCTCAGGGTATATAAACTTCTATTACTACTAGTGAAACTCCAAATGTTACTATTGTCACACAAGACTAGGATACCCAGTAACCTAAGAATAAAAGGCCTCTCTTTTTGGTAGTGGGTAACTTTATAAGGAACCTAGGACTACAAAAAGGGAATAAGGGTACTACTGGGCATCCTAGGCTTGCTGCTGCGCCGGTCGGTGGCCAGTCGCCGCATGCGCGTACAGCCGGGCCGAGGCAGACGACGCGAAGCGTTTCAATTAGGACAGGGGTTTGCAGGTATAGTATACTACAATGACAATAAGGAACCCCCAAAATAGAATAGGTAATTATTTTACATGTTTTAGCCGAATTTTAGCCCCCCCCCCCTATATATATATATATATATATATATATATATATATATATATATATTATCACCTAAGTTGACGCTTTGAAGTTCGGCAATCTTCGTGGTCTCAAACCAATAAGGCAAACTAAGAAATCGCCTGCCTCTCCGAACGAGAGGGTCTTCAAGCAGAACATGAGAGCAAGCGGCGAGAGCCTCATCGTCGGATTGCCACCCAGAGGTTATGGGGTTCAGGGGTTTCTGGTTTGGGGGTTTAAGGTTCGGGTTTAGCGCATCATTTCTCCCGACTCTCTTGAGTGCCCGACGCTAGCACGAAGGCAAGGACATCGTGCCAGACACGCGCCTCTGTTCAAGACAGCATCTTCCCTCGGACCACTCTGAGATGTTCATGTGAAGGGTAAGCCCTAAAACCCTACTTACTGAAACCCGAACCATTAATTAACCCCTTTAACTAACTACCTCTGAACTCTGAACCACTAAACCCTGAACCCCCGGAAGCCTTCACCGTGTGGAGAAGGCCAGCGACCGGCCGCCAGAACACGAAGACGAAGGCGAAGTTCACGCTGGTCGCCAAGAGGATCTCTGCTCCTGTATCATCTCCCGAACATTGCTATGCTATACTATCATATACTGGTTTATTTGCTGAGACGGTTTAACTAACATGACATGCTATACAGTCACATACTACGACAGCATCATCGCACATCCTGTGAAACCTGCTCATTGTCATGAGGCTCATCGTCGTGCCGCTGCCGCCACTGCTTCGGCGGCTGCTGCTGGCGACGACGATTAGGATGGCAATAATGGTGATGATGATGATGATGATGGTGGTGATGATGTAGCCTTGGTGGTGGTGTTGATGATTCAATGATGGCGATGGTGATGGTGATGATGACGGCGATGCTGAAGAATGCTGGCGGTGGTGGTCATGATGATGATGATGATGCTGATGCTGATGATGCTGATGCTGATGCTGATGATGATGATGATGATGCTGATGATGATGCTGCTGATGATGATGATAATGATGATGATGATGATGATCGTTCGGGTTTTGGTTCGAGCAATCTTGCTTTCGGGGACAGGAATCCGGGAAAACAGTTGGGGAGGCTGCAGTTCGGGTTCGTGTTTGGGTGGAGGAGGAGCAGAGACAGCAGCTCAATCTCATCACCAGCTTGGTCGTCAACATCGTCATCATCACCGAAACAACAACAAGTGCTACATCAATAACAAGCGCTGGAAAATGCTTCCTGGGTCCTGGTGTAGATGTAGATAAGATTATCAGATAAGACCCGCCAACGGCGGCTAACGGCATCAATGGTAGGAAACACACGAGCATTGGTGGCAGCCTTTGCTCCAGTCGCGCAACTCCCGTCCTTCGGGTCTGCCGCCGGAAAACAGCAGGACCTTGAGACAGGGCAGGCTAGGGTTTAGGGTTTAGGGTTTAGGGCTACCGCTGCTGCCGCCGTGCTGCTAGTACTGTACCCACAGTAGCCGCCACCCGCATCAGTAACAGGCAGCAGAGGCAGCACAGCACAGCCCGCCACCACAACTGCCACGACACCAAGGCACCACGACTACTGAGGAGTAATAGAGCAGAAGCTACTATCACTACTACCTACCACTACTGCAGAAGCAGCAACAACAGCCGCAACGACCACAGCCACAGCCACAACCGCAACCGCAACCGCAACCACCAAAACTACTACCACTACATCTTCGTCTTCTTCTTTAACTACAACTTCTTCTACTACTGCTACTACTGCTACTACTGCTGCTACTGCTACTGCTACTGCTGCTGCTGCTACTGCTACTGCTATTGATCACTGCTACTGCTACTGCGAAACTGCAAAGATGACGCCGCCAACACGACAACCACCACAGGTTCATGTTTAGAACCTTATGAAGTAACTGCTAAAAGGAACTACTATGGGGCCTCAGGGTAGGGCCCAAAAATGCCAACCCCAAGCCTGCGCTAAAGCCCGTCCAACTCGACTCAACTTGAAAAATTTGGAAGATGGCAGGTCAGGTTTGGGCAGAGGGTTGAAGAGTTTCCAGAACCTCACACAACAACCTTATAGAAGCCAGAACCCTGCATACAAACCCCGCATACAAACTCGGCACCAGGCCTTCTGCGGAACCCCAAAACCTTCCCGCCCATGAAACTCAAAAGGAACAACAAATACCCCGAAGCACTAAACTTGAAACCCTAAACCTTCCAAGAAAACCATGTACCCTGGGCTTTAGAACCCTAAACCCTTAGCCAGTGTGCACCCTTTCAACCAAGATATGTTCAATAATTGGAGTTTCGTTATAAGCAAAACAAACAGAACTCCTAAGAACACCGGATTCTTTTATAGCTCAGACCACCCCACCCCCCCGCCCCCTCCGGCCTGCTCTGCAGCCTGGGTAGGTGCTTCCTCGCTGCGTGCGCTGAGGAAGCAGAAGGCGAAGTTACAAATCCAGGCCTTGGGATCGCAAGCGTTCAGACTTCCTGGGTTGGAGGTTCTCGATTTAAGGCTTGTAGGGTTTAGGTTTAGGGGTTCAAGTTTGAGGGTAGAAGGTGTGTGCCCGAGCTGCCACTTGCATGAAATACTCCCTCAGTCAACATAGCGTTGCAGTTTTCGGGAAAGTTCAGGCTGACGCTTATCAAGGATGCCTCCAGGATACAGGGTTCAGTGGTTCGGGCTTAGGGTTGCGATGTTCAGGGTTAGGGTTCACGATTCAAGGAAGCTGATGGTTTTCAGGGTTAAGGGTTTAGGGTTTGAAGGCTCAGGGTTCCTCGACGGGTTCTGTAAAAGCTTGTTAACTTCATGTTTAGGATTTAGTTGGGGGGTTTGTATATGTTCATTATGGTCCTACGGTGCAATATGTTTATTTTGGTCCTATGGTGCAACATGTTTATTATGGTCCTATGGTGCTGTAGGGGGTTTGCAGGGGGGGTACATTTATATTAATGACTTCGCAACAGCAGATTGTGGGAGCAACGCAGGTACTGGTAGTGCTCAAAGCGGTGAAACGAGCACCAAAGACGCTGCATTGTATTCCAGCACAGGCGCATCACCGATACTTGTGTCCTTTGTTCTTGTCCGCGCTAGGCCCCTGTAAAAGGCGTGCAATATTCAGGTGTTCTCTTTGAGCTGCTATGTTCAACGGAGTAGTGCCATCCTGCGTTGCCTTGTCCTTGTCCGCGTTGGCCTCCAGCAGAAAGCGTGCAACCTCCACCTCGTCCTGCAGAGCCGCAATGAACAATGGGGTGGCCCCATCCTGCCTGGCCTTGTCCATGTCAGCCTTGGCCTCTACGAAACGGCGCACAACCTCCGAATGCCCGAACTCAGCTGCAATGAACAACGGGGTGGCGCCATCCTGCTTGGCCTTGTCTTGGTCTGCATTGGCCTCCAGCAAAAGGCGGGCAACCTCCAGCTGCCCCTTCTGAGCCGCAATGAACAACGGAGTGAAGCCATCCTGCCTGGCCTTGTCCTTGTCCGCGTTGGCCTCCAGCAAAAGGCGTGCAACCTCCAGCTGCCCCTCTTCAGCCGCAATGAACAGCGGGGTGGTGCCATCATCCGTGGCCTTGTCCTTGTCTGCATTGGCCTCCAGCAGAAGGTGTGCAACCTCCAATTGCCCCATGAAAGCTGCGATGAACAATGGGGTGAAGCCAGCCTGCGTGGCCTTGTCTTTGTCCGCATTGGCCGCCAGCAAAAGGCGTGCGACCTCCACGTGTCCTTCGAAAGCTCCCATGTACAACGGGGTGGCGCCCTCCTGCGTGGCCTTGTCCTTGTCCGCATTGGCCTCCAGCAAAAGGCGTGCGACCTCCACGTGTCCGTCGTGAGCCGCAATGCACAACGGGGTGAAGCCATCCTGCATGGCCTTGTCCTTGTCCGCATTGGCCTCCAGCAAAAGGCGTGCAACCTCCAGCTGCCCCCTCTCAGCTGCAATGAACAACGGGGTGGCGCCATCCTGCTTGGCCTTGTCCTTGTCTGCATTGGCCTCCAGCAAAAGGCGCACCACCTCTATTTGGCCGTGCTCGGATGCCTCATGCAAAGGGGCCGGATCTCCCAAATCGGGGTCTTGCGGCCTTTGTAGAAGATTTTCCACTTCTGCTGACACACCGCTTCTCGCAGCTTGCCGAAGCGCCGTCACTTGAGCATCCGATGGTGGGTGGAAGCTTTGAAGTACGACCTGAACTTCGCCAGGTCTCAAGGTGCCATCGTCATCTAGAACCACATTATCGTCCAGGAATACCAGCCTTTGCCTGAACCTTGACAGCCCACACATGCTGCACAAGTGTTGTTTCAATGCCCGGACGGGATGCATGCCGGCAGGCTGCGCCTCGAGAAAGATCGCCAAGTCAATCTCAGCGACTCCTTCACCCGACACGGTCTGAATCCGCAGCATGGCCCATGAAACCTGAAACCGTACCGATTGGTCAGGCTCAGGCCCTCACGCATGTCATTCCAGTCACAGCTATCACTTCTGCTACAAGTACTCGTATCATTACATGACGACTCGGAATATACCTATAGTCTCCATTGTAGTTCTTTTTTGGTTAACCAGTTTTATGGTTAGGATCCTATAATAGCGATTTTGGTTAAGCAAAAAAAGGAACTACAATGAAGACTACAGGTACTCAGGAAATCGCACTATTCATGAGTCAACGAAAGGCTCTTGCCATGGCATCTGAAGTTTGGGTCCCAGAACGTCGTGTAGAGTACTTGGAGGCCCTTTTGACTTAGTAAGGTAGGGCTAGTAAGCTGGGTTATGGGGATTATAATGGGGTTTCTAGGGGATACTAAGTAGACTTACTAAGTCAACAGGGCCTCCAAGTAGAGTACCTTTCCGTCCGTCTATGAGCCGCCTTGACTGAAAATAGTAACGATATCCTTAAAAAACCTTTTACACCCTAAACCCTAAATCTAAACTAACTAAGAGCCCTGACCGTCCCCCGGCCTCGGGCAGCTGGCGTGACTCCGTTTTGGCCACGCTTCGAGCAAACACATGCGCCTGCGACAGCGACGTTCCAGAAAGGGAGACGGGAGAGGGAAACAGATCTTCACAGCTTTACACTGCTTCCCTATTATCTCCCTTCTCCTCTGAAAAAGTAAGTTTGATGCCCCTCTTCAGGCTCTCCCACCACTCGTTGGCCTTGAGTGGTTTAGTGAGGTGATCTGAGAATTGAGCCCCGTTGGGGATCCATTGGATCCTTCCAAGGGCCTTCAAATCATTTCGGATGGACGCCAGATCCAAAGCGAGCCTTTTACAGGTCGGGACTCTCGGAATCCCTCCTTTCGTAAGGTGATCGAACAAACTACGGCAGTCACACAGGAACCTCAACTGTAGACGTGAGTCGTCTCGGATCAGGTCTCCTCTCAGTAGGCTTTCCAAGAACTTCGAGATGTAGTCGGCCGTCTCGATGGAAGTGGCGCAAGCCATAGTCTCCGCCGCAAATGTCGACCGACAAACTCGGTCGCAAGCCCCGCTCTTCCAGTCAAGGATGCTCCCACATTTCCGCTGGCCTCTCAGGACAGCGGTGTCACACAACACGTACAGGGCTCCGAGTTGACAGGCGATCGATGAGTTCGCCTTCTTGGCCTTCGCATTCTTCGCTCGAAGGCTCGGGTCCATGAGCCCTTGGAGATCCTCCTCGGTCGTCAGGCTGTAGTATGGATCGTCCTGGTTCTGGGGAACGTTCGCCCAGGCCGCATCGTGGTAGCACAGAAGCACCGCATCGTCCAGATTGACGGGGTAGAACGTCAGCCCCTGCTCTTGGAGCTCTAGCGCGCGGTGCGCCAGAGTGTTAGTGAACTTGAGGTCTTCCACTAACGGTTGCTTCTGTCTTTGCTGGCACAAGCTGACACCGACTTGGAGGTCGGGCCGGCTTTGGCAAGCCAGCCAGCTCAACGCCCCTATCAGCGACATATTGTCATGTCGCTGCTCCTCAGTCGCCTCGTCGAGGTCGCATTGGTCCTTGGCGATCTCAACCTCAAAGAGTCTTGTAGCCGCGTAGCTCGCCTGGGTCAGACGCACTCCCTCGGGGGTGATCTGGATGTAGGATCCAACGTACTCGAAGCTCCCAGTTTCCCATTCACGGATGGGGAAGAGTTCGCTCAGCTTTTCCTTCATGAGGGCACAGACTTTGTCCTGTCCTATCAACAGCACATCGTCGACGTGGACGCCGAGGTATCCGACCGGTGCCTCATAGGAAACCTCGCCAGTCTCCTCATTGACAATCTCCTTCTGGATCATGAAGATGCAATGGTCCAAGCAACACTGCCGGACACACCACACTTCCCCATTCTCGCCACGGAGCCTCATGTTCTTGAGGGTTTTGCTGAACTTTTTCCACCACGCCGCCGGGGAGTCCACGAGGCCGAAGATGGGCTTCTTGATCTTGAGCAGTTGCTCCGGGTGGAGCGTGCCGAGGCCGTTCCTCGGCTGCCGTAAGAACAATTCCCTCTGCAATGTCTCGCCGCAGAGGAAAGCCGCCGAAACGTCACCTGCATGACCCGTCCATCCAGACTCCAGGTTCGAAGCAAGAATCTGGAGGAGCAACAGGATCCCCTGCCGGGAGATGGTAGGCGCATGCGTCGGGAGGCCTGTCAGCAGGTCTGGATCTCGGTGCCCGCTGATCACAAGCCTCGCTTTATGCTTCCAGCCCACTTCTGGTTCTTGGCGGCGACGGCTCCACAACTTATCGCGGTAGGCGAACCTGCTGTTCAAGATGCGGCTCCCCTTCTCCTTCAGCACTCGCCTGCTTTGCTCAACAGACAAGGGTTCCAGCGCGTCGTGCTCAACGTGCTCCAACCACTGTTTCTGTTCTGCCTGGCGGAAACCCTCATGTTGGTCCGGGGGAATGAGACTCCACGGAAGCTCTTTCTCGAGGGCCTTCTGGCGGCCCCTCTCAGTCTTTGGTATCTTCATCATGAAAACTTCTTGACCTGCAAGTTCTTGTGGGTCTCCGCGTGCATCTCGGTCGTCGGCTTCCTGTGGGCCCTTCCGACGGTAGCGCTTGGCTACCGGGAGGGGTGCTTCAACATCATCTCGAGCTCGACCTTCTCGCATGGCTGCATCGCTGTCCTCCTCGTCGTAGTCGGGACTTCCAGCATCCAGCTCTACATCGCCGATATCGCCCTCGTAGGTGTCGTCGGCCTCGACGTAGGTCTCCTCCTCGACGAAGTCGAGTTCCAGTAACTTGTGAAGGTCGTCGCGCGCGACTTTCGCAGAAAAGGCTTGGCCAACCTCTTCTCCGGAGGCGAGTCGCATGTGCTCCGGTGCTATGAGATGACATCTCCCCCCGAAGGAGGCCCAGTAGTTGCCGCCCTCCTCTCCGATCACGACGGCGGGACCGAACCATTCCCAATGCTTCTGGCTTTTGGGCTTGCGGTACATGTAGATGTGGGCCCCTACGTCGACTTCCGGTCCCATGACACGGGTCCTCTGATTGAGAGCCCTCCGCAACTTCCCATCATTCTTCACCTTGAAATCGGCTATGCACGCTGCCGTCCTGATCGCTTGTTCTCGTGCCCTTTGTCGGTCTTTCGTGAGAACCTCATTGTGGTGGGGGTCCTCGTCGAAGAGGTCGTCCGGGAGGCCGGGTCACGACCCCAAACAGCTTGTGCAGGACTGTGTCCGCTATCACGGCGCAGTGAGTTCATCGCCGCATTGACCGCAGTGACGAGCATGTCTCGCTCATCCGCCGTCCCTGCCTTCTCATCGACAGTCTTGACCCACACTTCCTTCCACGTTCTGATGCAGCGCTCCACGGCGCCCTGCTGCCAGTGTGCTTGGGCGGCAATGGGACGGATCTTTGTCCCATGCCACTCACTATAGCGGCTGAGGCCCTTTTGGAGGCCGGTCTCTAGGTCCAGGATCATGGTTCCCGGTGCCCCGAACGTATTGGACCACATACGGCAGAACGTGGTCTCCATGGCCGCTCCTGAGTGACCGAGTAGGGGCGCCGATAAACAAAACCCTGTTCCAATGTCCACAGCGATCAGGAACTCGACCTTCTTTTTCTCGGCATCGTAGGCAGTAAAGGCGTCGAGGGCCACCACCTGATTGAAGCTCAGGAGGTTCGGCATAGAGGCCTGGCGAGCCGATCCACCGCGCTTGTTCCGATCGCAGACTTCGCACTTGATCCTTTTGGCCGCTGCCACCACATCTGGGGAGGCGCCAGCAAGACGGAGATGTCTTGCCAGGTCTTGGGCATCCGGGTGCCCCAAATTCTGGTGGAGTCGTCGTAGAGAACTCTGCACCTCCCTCGGGATAGATTGTCCGGGGACAAAAGAAATGGCTGAGGCTCCTCGGGGACCGTTGTCTCTCGTCCCACCTTTCGCTTCCCGACCTTCGGCGTCGGTGACGTAGGCAGAGAAGAGGGGGATCTCAGATTCGATCTCCTCGGCAGACGTTGGGGTAAACTCCTCATTGACGCGCGAGTTGAACTCCAGGGTGAGGTTGAAGGTCTCGTGGTCGCCAACCGCGTCGTTCCAGACGCTCTTCTCCTCGTACTTCTGAATCAAATTGATGATCTCAGGGTGGAACCAACAGGCCTCGTGTTCGGGGCCCACAACAACAAGCCTCCTTCCAGCACCAACTTGAGCGTCCAGGGCCGGGTAGATCTCGGTCAGGATGTCGTAGCAGGTGTCCCCATGAACCCAAATCGTTTGGGGCTGAAAGTACTCGATCATCTTGATGAAGGCCTCGACCTCTTGGGGGTCGCGGAGATCCTCAGCAAACACAGGCTCCAGAGCGGAGTAGTCGTAGCTGGTGGCCTCAATCGTCTTTTCGTAGCCACCGATTTCAGCGAGTGCCAAAGCCGCCTGGCCTCGAGGAAGAGGCCAACAAGTCTGGGTCCACATCGTTGCCGCCATCGTACACCAGGTAGTCAGAGAAGCCAACCTCTGCGCCCGTTTCCACAGATCCCTTCGCATACTCTTGGCTGGCCGGGTAGTCGTAGCAACGTGGAAGGCTTGATCACCGGGTCCTTCGAGTCGTGGTAGGTCTCGCAAAGGAAAGCGTAGCTCTCGTAGACGTTCTCGATCGGTTGAGGGAACCAGAGGATAGCCACGCGGTGTGAAGCAGGAAAGCGTCCACCGCTCCCCTTCCCAGGCCTCCGTGCCGTGACGGACCTTCGGGTCCAGCCTGACTGGGTTTTCCTGAGAGCACACGAGCTTTCCACAGCGGACGGTCCCCCCAGGATCGCCCCGGTAGATAGGCGAAGTCGTCTGGCTCTCGTCGCATTCCACCCAGATTTGACCGCCGGAGAACTCGCCGAAGGAGAGGGTCACGATCTCGGTGCCCAAAAGGTTGTGGCGGTGTAGCGACGTTGCGATGAAGAACAAAAGCACACCATGGCCCGGGGTCCTTCTTCTTCATAAAGGTGATGTACTTGATGAACCAGGGGGACTCAGCGCACGTGCTGGTCAGTCCGACCTTGTTCCCGTAGGTGTAGACACCGCCCGAGAAGTACTCGACCCCATCACCTTCATCTTGCTGAACATCGCGATGTCGCCGTCGTGCTTGTAGAGGATAAGCCCGTACAACCTCCAGTACCCTGACCCTGCTGTTTACCTAATTTTAGGTGGCGAGCAATTTACTAAACAAAGCTTGGTTTACACTTCAAATTTACGAAAAAATTTACGTAAAAAAAAAGTGTAAATTAATTTACTTTGTATAGTAAAAAATTTACACTGCAATGTAAATTTTTTTACACTGCAAAATACATGTTTTTAGGTTACACATTCCCGAATTTGAAGAAGTGAAATGCAAGCTAATTTTGGTTGGTTTTGTTTCTTTTATCATGGTTCTGCTTGTTGATTGCATGAGATTTTCCTGCGACTGTACAGTGCGGCATGGTCAGGTGTGAAGATAAAATTATGAGAATTGTGTTGCAAGCATACTTGTTAAGCCATGGTTTTCCATGTTGAAATCGCAGCTCGGTTTGATTCTGTGCTGGGTCGAGCCGGCGGATTGCTTGCGATGTGTGCTTTTTACATGCGAGAAATCGGTACATGTACATTTGCGAGAGTCATCACAATATAGTTTATACCTGCGAGGAGTCCACCTTTACCTGTGCGAGACTCTTGTAGGTTACATGCGAGAGATCTACTTATATATATATATATACTTTTCTGAGATCCGAGAGTGAGAAAAATTTTCGGACGTTGCAGCTGTGTGTTTGGTCCAGACGAGACCCAGAGGTAAGTGCGAGGCTGGATGGAGACAGAGACAAATGCATTCCATTTTTTTGAGAAATCATAAATCCTATACATACACAGTATATACAGTCTTGCGAGCATGGCTTCCTTAGCAGCTGCAGCTTCGGTCAAGCTGGCGGAGGGCGCTTCCGCTGCAACGGGCAAAAATGCCAAGGACCGAGTGGTTGCCGATCCGCTTATTACAGCAAAGGAGCTGGCGAATGTGGTGTTTGGCTTTCTCGAGTTCAAGAAGACGAAGGACCTGTGGCCTTTACTGTGCCCCCCTCCGGGCGGGCCAATAAGCTACACTTGGCACACTGCCGCCCACGGTCCGTGGTTGGCAAAGACAGCTGGGCTGCTGTTTGACCTTCTTCGCCTCGCCCCGAACACGAAGTTGTTGTCGCAGCGGGTTACCCGAAGCTTTTGGATCCTTCACGAGCAAAAGAACCTGCAGCTCGAAGGCCACAAAGACTACAAGGCAGAGGACCTTGTGGACAAGATGGACACCGCCATCCGTCTTCTTCTTAGCCACCTCCGTGCGATGAAGCAGAAGGAGAGCTTCAAGCGGAAAGTCTACAGGTCCCTGTCGCACGAGGATCAAGTGTGCAGTGGCTGCACATATATGTTTTTCGTGTTTTTTCGCTGTATATATAATTCGTGTGACGGAACAAAGAAGTGTTGCAAACTTTTTTTTACCTATAAGTCTGTGGAAACATACAATCAGGAAGCTTGACCTTTGCCTGGAAAGGGTGCAGGTGCAGGAGTTTGCCCCGAAGCCTCTTGATTCCCCCAGCACGGCCCTTGTTCCCGTGAACGAGGATGAGAAGCCTGTTCCTTTTCGTGGTGACGAGAAGCTTACTCCTTTGCAGGATGTTGAGTTCCCGGAGTTGCCGGAAATCTTTAAGAACAGCAGCCCGACCAAGTTTCCGGACACCTTGAAGAGCAGCGAGCCGAAGAAGTTTGCGGAGAAGTTTGTGCACATCCATAAGAGCAGCAAGCCGAAGAAGATCGTTATGAAGAAGGGCACCCTGAAGAAGAAGGCCACAAAGGCAAAGAACAAAAAGGCAGGAAAGGCAAAGATCAAGACTGGTGCCGGGGCTGAGCCGGCCAAGGATGTGGAAGTGATCTCTTCCACGGATGAGTGCGACTTGGACATCCTCAAAAATGCCATGGCTTTCATGCCGCCGGTGTCTGTGGCTGTGGCCAAAAAGAAGGGTGCTTCGAAGCCCAAAGCCACCGGCAAGCCGAAAGAGAAGAGCCCCAAGCCCAAAGCCACAGCGAAGGCGAAGTCGGCGGCGAAGACGAAGGTGGCGAAGCTGGCGGCGAAGCCGAAGCCGGCGGCGGCGACTTCGCCGTCTAACAAATGGCTGTCCGCCGAAAAGTACGGATCTTGCAAGGTAGAGTTCTACTCTGAGAAATCCTACATCCGCAACTACGATAACGGCGGCAAGCTGAGGAGCATCATTTCCAGTTGCTGTCCGAAGCATCATGAGGTGATCGAGAAGATGATTCCCTACGTCGAGCAGGGCATCCCGCTCTTGGAGCTCTACAAGCTGCGACAGGACGTCATGAAGTCGCTGGGGGTTTGAAAACCAAAATGTGTTCAGTGCGGGATGATGTGCACCCTGGGTTTTCTGAACTTTGTAGACTATATAACAATCTGAGTTTCAAGCATATATATGTTGTATATAAACGTGGTTTGTTTTCCCACAACTCTGAGAAAACCCATGGGTGCTAGTCACGGTGTGTTTCTATATGTCTTTCGTTTACATGTAGAGCACTACATCTGCCACAATGCCATCTAGCATAATGCATCTTTGGCCCTTTTAGTGAGAAGCACAAAAAGGGTGAACCTTCCGGCAGCAGAGGGGCAATGACTGCGAGAAAAAATGTTTCTTGCATTTGTGTGTGTGTGTGAGGTTGAGTGCTTCCTGTTCTGTGTGATATATGTATTTGATCCCTATCATATACTGTATATATAAGCCTTTGTAACCCCGAAACCACCAATAGCCTAAAGCCTCAAAGCAGGTTTACTTGCGACGGTGATTTTTGTATATGTACTTGCGATGAGTTCTGCTTTTTACCTGTGCGAGTGTTTCCTTTTACATGCGATGTGAGGAGCTTTGTATATTACTTGCGAGATTTTCCTTGTGTGCACCTTTACATGCGATGGGGAGCTTTGTATATTACTTGCGAGATTTTCCTTGTGTGCACCTTTACATGCGATGGGGAGCTTTGTATATTACTTGCGAGATTTTCCTTGTGTGCACCTTTACATGCGATGGGGAGCTTTGTGTTACTTGCGAGATTTTCCTTGTGCAGCTTTACATGCGATGGGGAGCTTTGTGTTACTTGCGAGATCTACCTGCGAGTGTGTCTTGCCTTTAAAGCAGTATTTCACAAAAACCCTCAACCCTCACTAAGCCCTAAAACCCAAAACTAATTTTAAACCCATAAACCCTATATAAACCCCAAAACCCGAAACCCCAAACCCGACTCCCCAAACTTAAACCGCAAACCGACAGCCCGGATTCCTTGTGAGCCCCCAAAAAAACATTCTCCAATGTCTAACACTTTCGAGTTGGAATTGCTTGAGTGCAGAGAATGCCGGCTGAAGAGGTTTATCGAGGCTTTTTTGCGAGATGATGTTGGAGCCGAAACTTGTGGCCGTGGTCGCTGTTTCCTTTACAGCAGGAGAGACTCTAGTTTTGCGACGTAGTATCTCCTACACACGATGTGTTCGACACGATGTCACCACCATGTGCCGATGCGGCTTATTCTCACAGTATTTGTAGAAGGTTTGGATTGTAGATAGCTTCGCATAGATGCTCTGGACTTTTAAAGCATACAACCCAAAGCCATTACCGAGTTTCGGGTGTCAGGCTTTCGGCGCCGGGGCTAGGCTCTAGGCACATTTTTATCCACAAAGAATAAAGGCTGTTCACTTTGGGTGTTCTAACATATATAGCAAGTTTTGCTTCGCGGCCATGGCAACTGTCGACTGCTACCGTGTCTACGTGAAGAATGTCACGTACAGTGCGACGAAGTGGGCCACTCGAAAGAAAAGTAGCTTTGGGTTTAGGGTTTAGGGTTTAACATATATACTTTATATGTACACAAGATGTAGATATAGATAAACTCAATACACGTCTATTGGCCACAATCTGACACTCATTACTTTTCTTTTGTGTCTAATTATATATGCTTATATCTACACATATATACAAAGGGTGAGGTTGGTACACATATAGACAGGCATACATATATGTAGTTACATGAGAGAGAGCCGAGGCGATCCGGGCGGCGATCGAAGAGCTTGGGGTGCTGGATTGCCGGAACATCCAGGTGGTGAGGGAACGGTACTGGGAGAAGAAGCTGCAGCGGCCAGATCACTGCAGCATCTTCTTGGAGTTCGCAACTTGGTTTTTTTTATATTACTTGCGACCCCTATATAAACCCTAAACCCTAAACCCTATCAACCCCAAACCCCTAACCCCCAAACCCTAAACCAAAGGACTCGCCAGATGCCGCTCAGCTTGCCCGGGCTTCGCTCGACGGGCAATGGCATGGGAAAATGGCGACGAACAAGTACCTGGTGGCAGAGCTGGCGAAGCCGCCCCCTTCGAAAGCTTCGAAGGAAGACGAGTCGTGGGGCAAGTGGGCACCACCACCAGAACAGCCGCCTTGGAAAGGCCCTCCGCCCACCCCCCCTCCACTGGGCCAGGCACCACCGCCATCCCAAAGCCCACCAGAGCCCAATGTCCCAGAACCAGCACTCCCACCAAAAGCCAAAGCAATGCCGACCCAGCCCCCGTACCCACCGCCGCAACACCTTGCACCACCACACCCAAAGGTTCCACCTGAGCAACTTTACGGTTTGGAGACGGTGAAGCCGCAAGCCTGGGAGCTCTGGGTACATGGTGGTCCACGACCCAAAGAATCTTGCATTGCATAGTTCAACAACATGTTTTGTTACACATATCTGCATGTGTTTTTATATATATGTATATATAATCAACATGTGTACAAAGAGCTATAGGGCAGCTAGGGGGGCCAAATCTAAGAATGCTATATGGCATCATGTGAGAACCCCAAACCCCAAACGACCCGCCCTAAAAGATTCATAGTTTCATATTCCGACGACAACACCAGCCCCAGGAGGATGCTGCTGCCCCGCTTGCAGAAGGAGCCTTCGATTCGAACACCAAGACCGAGGCCTGTGGGTGTGTGTACCCTTACTTGTGAGAAGAAGAACAAACTCCAGAGCCACACAATGAAGTAGA